GGTGGTGGCTTACCCTTGAGCAACTATTCTATGTTAAGCTATAGGATGTAAGAGTGGAGACTATATGTCTGTGAAATTTTACAATCTATGAATCAGCGAGAATTAGAGGCAAATCCCTCTTCTCTCCTTCTGCATTACCTTAGGCATACTCAAGGCTAATAGAAGTTTGATTTAGGACTATTTGCTGTTCTAGATTATCAGTCATTTTTTCCTCCCACCCCATTAGCACAGAGAGATAATGGAGAGTTCTATGCTGGTCTAATAGAATCTAATTCAATTTTTTTTTAGCACCTACTATGTGCCTGTGCCTACTATACTATAGGCACTGTGCCTGCCCTAAAAGTGAACCTGAGAGTAAGCTTGACTGGTCAGTAAGAAGACTGTAAGCTTTAGAGCTGTAAGGATTCTTAAAGATCATCTAGCCCAACCTTTTCATTTTACAGATGAGGAAACTGAGGTCCAAAACAGGTCACCCAGGTAATAAATGTCAGAGATGGGATTCAAAACCAGACCTCTTGAGTATAAATATGGTCCTCTTCCCACTGAACCACTTCTTTTGCACCCGATGTCTCCATCAGTAGTTTCTTACCCCAGTGTTGTGTCTGTGTGCCTGTGCTAGGAAATTCACATCTGTGGCCTGCCCTAAGGCCCCCGGGACTGGGACAAGCTGCCAGCTGCTGTCTCAGCTATTTCTGTCATAAGTAATTTCTCATGCTCTGCCAGGCTTGGAGTCTCCTCTCTGCAGCTGGCCTGAACCAGCTGCCTTGGGGGGAAATTTACTCCAGCAACTTAAAGTGGTACCCCTCAGGATTTCCATACCCCAGGTTTCCCATTTCATTTCTCACATTCAAGGGCCATTTTCAACATAGATGAAGTTATAGATTTAGATGTTGCTTTGTGGGTCATTTTCTGTATGAGTCGGCCTTCTTGAGACTGGGGCTCTGTGATCATAGGCTGAATCTTTGTCCTACTGTCAGTCCACTCCCCTAACCACCACCCCTGACGTACCCCCCGCAGAGCTTTTGAGGGAGGAGCTATTTTCCCAAGACTTATGGTTTCTAAACATTGCATAGCAACACCTTACTTTTTTACCTCCTCCAAAAATTGTCGTGTTCTATCTCTTCATAAAAATTTTTCAAATATAATTTTCTTAAGTAATATTTTATTCAAATAAAATTAAGAATTTATCATAATTTTTATAACTTACAAATCTTCAACATATAGTAAAATAACATAATATACACAGGTATTTATTTATTGATAAAAAATAATTTATAATGCTCATGTATATAACAAAAAAATAACCATAATAATAGTATTAATGTGATGAGTGTGATTGTTTTTCAGCCCAAAGTTTCTCAACCATGGTGCCATTGATATTGTTACTTCTTTTTTCAACTACTTATCTAGAACATTATTTTGTCTTTATAATATTGAATACTAACAAGATATTGCAAATACTGTGCAGTATCGCTTAATTTGACAAACCTTAGAGCCCTTTACTCACTCACAGATCAAACATAACTTTTTTTATCCAAATGCTTGTTTCAGCTTACTATCATGGGACAAATCTATTAATAATTCTTCTTCAGATGAAGCAAGATTGAAAGTATCATAATTATCCATGGTAATCATCCTTACCATTAATATTTAGAAATAAGTCTTGAACATAAAGTAAAAACTTCTGTTGACAAGTCAAGTGATTAATAATCTGATCTTTATTTGCTTTTATTTCATTTGACAGAGATTTTTAAAATTGGAAAACAAAATTATTAATTTTTAAATGCATTATTCATTGCTCTATATATTTTTTGTAAATGCAGTCAATTTATCTTTCTGGATCAGATCATGAATTTGAGTCATGTTAATTTATTTATTTAGAATTTTTCAAAAATATCCACCAAATATGGAGTTTGAGAAGGAAATTTCTGTTAAAAATAAGTTTGCTTCATCTTCATTATTATTATTAAGAAAAGATGATAACTTCCTTTTTAAGGTTAAACATTCTTCCAAATACTGTAACTTGAGAAAGCCATTATGTTTCATAGTAGATAAAAAGCAGACATCAATCAGAAAGTCCTGGGTTCAAATCCTGCATCTGACACATATTGGTTGTATGGCTTTGGATAAGTCACTTGAGCTCTCAGTTTCCCCCAGAAAACTCTATAAAATATAAATTTCAGAGGAGATGTTCATTTGCATTATGAGAAAGAGTTTTCTCATTGTGAATTCTATGCATCAATGAAATCTTAGGTTTATCTCAAAAAAAAGTAGCTCTTTAATCATATTTCTTAAAACATGCTATTGTCTCTGAAGCATCTGTCCAAATTTCATAAAGAACCATTTTTAAAGTAATACTGTTAGATTTATGTTTGTCCGATATCTATTGAACTTCCTCAGTATTAAGTCCATTACAATTCTCCCACATATAATTTTCATTAAAATTTCATTTAAAATTCCATTGATTATATTGAATTTTTCTCTTGATATGACATTCTTGTCAATCAGTTTGGAAAGTAAAGAATTGCCATTAATATCAGATCAATAACACAGCATACATATGTGATCAAATAATTGCTCACTCCACTTTGCTTTTGCTGCTCTGACTATTCTGACTGGTTTCAATTCCAATAAACAAGGTGCTCCTTCCAGGAAATGCTTAAGACTTTTCATCAACACACTGCTCACTCAAGGCCAGACACTACCTCCTGTAGCCTCCTCTCCCCTCTGATTGGAGGGCTCGAAGGTGTAGTACCAAACTTCTCCCAAAGCCTTGCTTTATAGAGGGCAGAAATTGGACTTTCAACTCACTCCACTTTACATCTGCTACTCTGCCTAGTTTCAGCTCCATGGAACTAGATATCCTTGCTATATATCCCTTGGTCATCCCCTCATATCTCACTTTCCTACTTCCTTTTCTATGCTGTCTTTCCCAATAGACTATAAGCTCCTTGAGATCAGGGACTGTATTTCTTTTTCTTATTTGTACCCCCCAACACTTAGCACAGTGGCTGGCATGTAGTAGATTCTTAATAAATGTTTATTGAATTGAAAAAAAATGAATATCTTACCCACCTACAGAGCAAAATAGGAAGATTTTGGTTTGTCAATTAATTGATTGCACGTGAACAATTCTCTTACCCACCCTATTTTCAGTGTGTAGAACCATTCAAAGATGCTCTGCAAATGACTGACCAAGCATCTTCCCTACTCTATCAATAGCTTTATGTAGTACAAACATTTCTCTTATCAACTGAGGCTTTCTACACATAACAATTCTGTAAGCAGCTTTATAAGATGTAAGAAATCCTTCTGATGCCACAGATATTTTAAATCTTGGTTTTTGTTATTAAAAAGCTTGGAATTCTCTTTTAGAAAAAAATTATCTCATCTTGCCAATATGTTCTACATGTACACTTTCAGGAGACTTCCAATTATTAGGTTTCATGTTATCTGCAGCTGAAATATTTATACAAGCAAACACAGCAATCTTTCCACTTGATCAATAGCAATAAATATGAATGCCAATGAAAGAATGAATAAAAATCATGAAAAAGAATTTACTAAGTGCCTGCTATGTGCAAAAGACTGTGCTAAGAACATGGGATGCAAATACAAAAGTGTTACTGTCCCTACTGTCCTGGATTTTACATTCTAATAGGGGACCTGAAGAAAGCAATGACACAAATAGGGATATGGTGAACAGAGACAGGTGTTTGCTTGTGAGAATTCACAGGGATGGTGAGTAGAGTCAAAAGAGAGTTGATTAATATGCCAGTTCTTGCAACAATTGTAGCATTAGTGTAATTGTAGTACTCAGAGGAAGGGGTGGAAGTGAGGATAGGTAATGACAAGAATATAGCTTTGGTGGAATGTGAAGCATGCCTGGAACTAGTTAGATAAAGTGGACCATGTGAACGTGGGCTACGTACTCACTAGTAACGACAGTGGATGAAGTCCCAAAGTGGAAGCATAAAATTGAGGAGACTAAGTCACCCAGGTCTCCAGAGGTCCAGCAGTATAGATGATGCAATGGTAAGCATGTGACAATAATATGACTGGGGTGGAATGATAAATACAGTGGACAATATTTTCTGGATTTGAGGCTTTTTATATTGTTTCTGCATTTTTATTATTTAAACTATAATCTTTGCTTTTATTAGTTTTAGATGCTCCATGGGATTTTCTTTTTAAGCCAATTATATATTCATCAATATCTAAGGGATATGTTTCATATTAAAACAATTAGAAACAAAAAAATTGAGACTATAAAATTTATATTTGTTGATAATTTCAAATAATTAGCTATAACTTCTCAAGGGATTGAAATTTTAAGCATTTCAGAGTTGGAGGGGAGGTTGGCCCAAGTTGTGCTTATCAAAATGAATGACATTGAGAAATGTAACAAGTATTAAAGTACTTTTAACCTCAACAAAAAGATTGTTTAATTTGGAGTTTTTACATTTTACTTTCATATGTAACAAGCATCAGGACAGCACAACACATCTGTGCCATGAACCTGCTCTGACCAGTGATGGTAGCTAATGATATTTTCCTTGAAATATGACACATTTCACACCTACTCAGATTTGACCTCATTTACTCAAACCATAGTAAATAACTGTCAGTCAGTAACCATTTATTAAGCACCTACTATATATCAGTCATTGCACTAAGAAGAGCAAAAGACATTCCCTGCCAAGGAGATCACAATCTAATTGCTGCATTGCTTTCATTGTCAGAATGAATTCATTGTGTTAGTCTCAGTGTTGTTGACTTTGATTTGAACTTTGTTTTCACTGAAAAAATGTGGAAGTATTTATGTAAGGAACTGTATTCAAAAATATCCAACAATTTGGCCATTGCTTCTGTGTCCCTGCCCCTTCCCCACAAGATTTAGATGTTTCCCAGTTTGGAAAACTCTGTCTCAGACTGACATTACTTGAATACAAGGCCTCATCTTTTCTCTATGAGCTCAGGGACTCTGACTTTTCCTTCAGGGACTAGCCGACTGAGGCTGACTGTGCTATCTGAAGACCGGCTGCAGATGAAGTGGAAGGAATCAGAAGGAAATACCAATGGCTACAAAGTTCAAGTAAAGCCCATGGCAGGTACTAAATGCATAGTGGGAGTGGGAGAGCGTGTCTGGGGATACAAGGCTAGGCAAGGGAAGGGGCTGGGGCTGAGATACACAGATCTTCCTCTTTGCCCTTCTTGGGTAGGAGAAGTCCAGAGTGCAAATATATATTATCCTCAAGGCTGAGAAATTGAGACCTAGTTTTCCAAGATGCATTTGTTTTTTTTTTTTTACGCCAAGTCTTTAGATTGAATTTATTCAATCATTTTCATTTAGCAAATTTTGTTTTCAGTTGTGTTAGCAAAGCTCTAGGCTTGGTGCTGAGAGGGATAAAAAGATGCCTAAGGCAGCCTTGTCCTTAAGGATCTCATAGTTTTAAATATGATAGAGGTCATATTCTAAATATGACATGATAAAGATGCTTAATAACGTTTGCACATAGTAAGTGTTTAATAAATATTTATTAAACTGAGTTTTATGAAGCTTCACAAGAACCTATAATCTCAGTCTTGGAAAAGACCTCAGAAGTCATCTAGCCCAGCCCAGATCTGGTGCATGAATTCTTCTTGAAGAAAGATAGACAATTTTTGGTCAGGGGTATCAAGGAAGTCTTCATGGAAGATGAGGCATCTACACATTTGAATTATGGGCAGGGATTAAATTGGTAAAGCTGTTGGGGGGAAGACATTTAAGGCTTGGGAAAAGAATAGGAAGACACAAAGCCAGAAAAGCAGAAGTATATTCAGAGGATGAAAAGCTATCTGGTTTGGCTAGAGCATGGAGTACATGAGAGGAAGTATATGGGTAATCCACATCTAATCCAAAGCCTACAGTGTATATGATAACTTCTCTACATCCCTCACCTAGCCATTAATAAGTGTGCCCAGAGACAGTGAGGACCTGTGAGTATTCTCTCTCTGGTCCTATTTGGAAGGAGGTAGCTGGGGGAATGAGGGAAATCAAAGACCTGGATGGTATTTAAGTGGGAACCCCTACCCCTGGATAATTAATAGCAATGTGTTCCTACCCCAACCAAGATGCAGCTTTTGAATGTGACTCCTGTTTCTCCTTAAGGGGACTCTGAACAGGAAGTAATGCTGACTACCAAGACACCTAAAGTCACTGTGGTTGGACTGAGCCCCACCAAGGAATACACACTCCAAATATTTGCACTCAGTGGCTCCCGTGACACTCTGATGGCCAGGCGGAGGTTTGTGAGTAAGTTGTTCCTGCTGCATGTCATCCTCTGAGGCTTTCTCTTACCTAACTCAGCCTCAAAAATGGGCATAGACCCCAAAGAACTCTGCCAGTGGACCAAAAACAGAATGAACTTAGTAAGACAGTTGTGCTATGAAAGTCAGCATGGTCTGTAGAAAGGGTCTAATGGAAAGAACCTTGATCTGGAAGTTTGCAGACCCCAGTTCTAGGCTCAGCCCTATGTGGGCCTGTGAATTGCTGTGTGACTTTAAATATTACTCCCTTTCTGTGAGCTTCATTTCCTCATTAATGGAATGATGGCCTCATACTAGATGTTCTCTAAGACCCTTCCAGCTCTAAAGTCTTGTGACACTCATTAAAAGCTTCTTTTCCTAGGTGAGGTTTCCTTAGGACTCTTCATATATTTGGCATAAATAGGCCTTCATGACGAAGGAAGCAGAAGGATGAAGTGAAGTATTGGAGAAAGGTGGCAGAATCCCATGCAACAGACTTATTGTCTCTAACAATAGTTGGAGACTATTATCACCACTTTTGAGATGAGAAAACTGAGGATCAGAGGGATTAGGTAGTTGGCTCAAAGTGAAGAAGCAAATTTGGGCAGAAGGAATCAGCATCTGTCCCTGATTCTTTCCCTCCTGGGTTCTATTAACTTGTGACATTGGATGAGTTATTCCATCCCTTTGAGCCTCAGATTCCTCATCAGTAAGATGAGAGTAACAGTAAGCATCCTTCCCACCTTACTGTAATATTGGATCAGAAGAGATGATAAATGTGACAGTCCTGCCATTGGGCTTTGGCTGTGGGTAATGTTTCATATTAATTCTAGTTGAGGATTTGAAGAGCATCTCCATGGGCAGGAACAGCCGGAAGCCATCAGGGGAAATCCTGGAGCCTATTCCCTCTTCAGTAGGAAATCATGAATTTGAGCAGGTTCCTGAGCTTGGAGCAACTTCACCAACTTGGAGTGGAGTCTCTCCCACTTTAGGTAGGTACAGACCCAGGGAGAGGGTTTGGAGTGCAAAGAACAGGAATATAGAATCACTCAATTTAGGGTTCCTCAAGTTATTTCTTGGACTTCAACATTGATTCACAGCAATGTCATTAGCTGCATTCATCTCACACCCAAATTGCAAGTCATCTATGCTATGTTATCATCCTCATCATCATCACCATCATTGTCATCATCATCACTTTCACCATTGCTGTCACTGTTGCCATTGCTGTCATCATTATCATTATTAGCTGACATTTATGTAGTGCTTTATATAGATTATCTAATTCAACCAGCCAGTTTATTGAGCACTTTTATGTGACTGTTCACATGCTAGGGAATTTGGGGGTTACAAAAGAGTGGAAATGCATGCTCCCTGTGTTCATGGATCATACTGTTTAATTGGTCTCACACACAAAACAGACACCAATTTTATGCTACTTAACTGTAGGAATTCAGAGAAGGGACAGGGTGTGGTGGAATATATAAAAGTGTTTGCAAGTCATAGAGGAGACAAAGAGGCCCAAGTCCCCAAGTCAGTTCTTAGCCCCACTTGCTTGTTGTCAGATTTCTCCAAAGGATACTCAGTTGCATTATGGACCCTTCCTCTCCCATACTTGCCCCATGTGGAGCAGGAAAAGTCAGAGAGGAAGCTGCTGAAGGCTCCCAAGGGAAGCATTCTTCAAAGCCAGCTCCTATACCCATTGACACTTGGAGATAGTCCCCATGACAACAAAGCTTGTACAGCACATCTAAGAACTACTGGGTCCAGAAAGTCAGGACAGAGAAGTTGGGACTCATCCTTCGGAGTTCAGAGCTATATTTTCTCCAGCAGGCCAGCAGCATCCCAAGGATAAAGAGCTATATTTTACTGCCAATCAGGACAGAAGGTAGTTACTTAGATGAAGTAAGATAGAAATGTTAGGAAGGAAAGGAGAGAAAAGACAGATGCTTGTTATTTGTTAGCTGCTTGGTCCTAAATCACTATATGAATTTGTTGGGTGGGGTTGCACCTCTCCCATAATATTAAAGTATCCCTAATGCCAAGGAGAGAGAGAGAGAGAGAGAGAGAGAGAGAGAGAGAGAGAGAGAGAGAGAGAGAGAGAGAGAGAAATGATAGCAATATACACATGTAGATGTATACTTATACAATACAAAAAGATACACATACATGTACATACAATGTACATATATTGCATTGTTAATATGTATATATTGTGTAATATATGTGTATATCTGGCAGTCAACTAGCATTTATTGTAAACTAGCATTCATGTGCTGGGCACCATACTAAGTGCTAGGGGTACAAAAAAGTCAAAGTGCTTGCTTTCAAGGAGCTTACAATCTAATGGGGGGGACAAAAATGCAAACAACTATGTACTACAGTATATATGCACACATACACATATGTTATACATGTATAGAGTATACACAATACACACATGCATGCACACACAGAAAACACACACACACACACACACATGAATACATGCATACATGCATACATCTCATGAAATGAGAGGTTCTCTAAGGTCTGGGACTATATTTTCTCCAGCAGTCCAGCAGTTCTTCAAGATGAAAGAGCTGTATTTTGCTACAAATCAGGACAGAAAGTAGTTGGATAAAGTTTAAGCCTCTTTGGGCAAGTAACTACTGTAATCATTTCAGGACCCTTATAATATAAGCATCCTGAGATACTTGAAGGGGTACCTGCATAGGAAAAGTTAAAAGTTAAAAGTTAAAAGAAGTATAGAAGCCTAGCATGCGGAGCATTAGGAGCTGTCCATGGTTCTGAGATTGCCCTACTCAAACTCACTCTTGCAGACCACATGGGTACAATGCAAAAATACCTAGATTTGAAACCAAGGGACTTTGTGAGTTTGAATCCCAGCTCTGCTGCTCACTACTCATATGGCCTTGGACAAGTTACTTATCCTTTCAGAACCTTGGTTTCCTCACTGGTAAAATGAAGAGGTTGGAGAGGATAATCCATAAAGTCCCTTTCAGTCTTAGATAAAGAATTCTTTGATCTCACTGCTTCTGTCTTAGCTGTCTCTGCCTCCATCTTCCAAGGTCCTCAGTTCCACTGTGACACCTCCATTCCTGTGGATATAGTATTCTTGGTGGATGGGTCCTGGAGTATTGGCCGAAGTAACTTTAGGCTCATCAGAGAATTCCTGGCCAACATCATCTCTCCTTTTCACATTGCCCAGATAAAGTCCGAATAGGTAAGTACAAGGTGGTTCTCCTGTTGGCCCTTCACATGTCTTTGGTGATAATGGCTGTGATTCCCCAACAATCATAATCAGGAGTTGGGGGCTCATTCAGTGAAAGCTTGATTCCTCTAGATTTTGAAATTAAAAATAAAAATCCCCATAGACCAGAAGTGATGAATAAGTGGAGACAACAGCTTAATGTTTTGGAGTGACATCAAATGTGGATACTTCAACCAGCAGCACCCCCCTTCTTTAGCTTTCCCTGGGGGAACTCCTGAAGTTTCTTCATTAGCAAGAGGAAGCAGAGGCTACACTGCTTTCTACATTGGTCTGATTTATCAACCACAAGGCAAAGTGCTGGGGGCTTCACATTCTTCCTCACGGAACCCCAAGAGTACTTGTGCAAACAAAATGCTATTCCCTGCCTCCATATCTGGTATTCTTAACCTGATGGGTGTGAGCTAGTTTTTTAAAAAAATATTTTGATAAATTTATTTCAATATAATTGGTCTTTTTAATTCTACATATTTTATTTTATGCATTTAAAAACATTTTTCTTTGAAGGGATCCATAGGCTTCACCAGAGTGCCAAAGGGATCTATCACATAAGAAGGTTAAAAACCCCTACTCTAAGGGCAAGGGCCCAGCTCTGAACCTATGGAAGTGGAAAAAAAAGTGAATTCTAAATTGGAGATATGGTCAATCTACCCATATTATGCTCTAATAAGATCTTCCATCTGGGAGGGAACTCAGTGGGTTTTCTACAGGAGAAATTGGGAATTATCACCTCCAAGCAATATTCAGGAACAAAAGAAAAATTAAGCTACTACTAAATATGTCCAATGGCATGGGAAACTACTTAGGGAAGAAAGTAGCATGAAAGGGAAGTAATTTTGTCCAGAAGCATGTCTCCCCTGTCATTATGCAGCTCCCAGTTGCCCATACCTGTGGTTCCCTTCACCTTCTCTCAGGTTTGTCCCAATACAGTGGAGATCCCAGGACTGAATGGGACCTGAATTCATTCAACACCAAGGATGAAGTTCTAGAGGCTGTGCGAAATCTCCGTTACAAGGGTGGTAACACTTTCACAGGTACCTTAGCAACATTTCTTTATCACTCACAATGAGGGCTGTTTCTTTCCCCTTCTTCCTTGCATCTTTTTAAATGCCCTTCTCTAAACACATCTGCAAATCGTGAACTCCAAGGGGACCTTCTTTATCTATCAGATAAGTTGTTTAGATTATGATATATTTACATATTCAACCACACATTAGTTTGCATATGTTCAAAAATACTTTTAAGCTGTGTGTGTATGTGTATGTCCTTATCTCTCTTACTAGACCAGGGATGGGGAACCTGTGGCCACGAGGCCACATACAGCCCTCTACATCCTCAAGTACAGCCCTTTGATTGAATCCAAACTTCACAGAACAAATCCCCTTAATAAAAGGATTTGTTCTGTAAAACTTGGACTCGGTCAAAAGACTGTACCCAAGGACTTAGAAGGTCACATGTGGCCTCTAGTAACTAATCTGAACTGTCCAATCAGGGGCATAAGTATGCACAGAAGGTGAGCCAGGTGTGTTGACCCACCAAGGCACCACTAGCCTATTTTGCATTCCTACCTATGGCAGGGACTGCAATTTTTCCACTATTCTCTCCCTGGAGCATCCACTAAGGGATCCCCAAAATAAAAGAAATTCAGGATACAAATCTGATTTCAGTTCAGTAAGCATGCATTAAGTGCTTACTAATTGCAAGCCCCTGTACTAGGGCTACAAGGCTGTAAAGATGAAAAATGACAAAACCTCTGCTCTTAAAGAGTTTACAATCTAATGCAGGAAGGTCTAGGCTACGATGCACAAAAAACATATAATACAAGGTAGAATGTCATAGGACCAAAATGCTCTAGCAAGATTTGAGAAAAGAAGGATCACTTTTAGCTGGAGGGATCAGGGAAAGTTCATGGAAAAAGTGGCACCTGATCTGGACCTTGAGGGAAGAGAACATTTTTAATAGGCAAGGATAAGGAGAGCATGCATTTCAGGCTTAGAGACCAATATATATGAGGTAAAGTTGAAAAAGACAGCTGGAACTAGGTTGTAGAAGGCCTGAAATGCCAACCTGAGAAGTTTTTGTTTTGTCCCACGAAGTCACTAAAGGTTGTTGTTGCTGCTGCTACTGTTTCTGGTGTTGTTTTTGTCAAGTGGGAAAGGTGCCTCAGTAACATGATTTTGGTCATAGCTGTGTGAAGGATGGTTTGGCAAGGGGAAAGATGGGAAGCAAGGAAGTCAATTAGAAGGCTGTTGCAGTAGTCCAGGCAAGAGATAAGAGGAGGAATCTGATGTGAAAGACATTGTTGAAGGAGAATCAACAAGACTTGGCAACTGAGTGGATATGGAGGGAGGAGAAAAAGTCAAAGAAAATGCTATGGTTTCAAGCTAGGGGAACTTAGAAATAGATACAGTTTTAGGGGAAAGATAAAGAGTTTGTTTTTTACCTATTGAATCTGAGATGCTGAGAGGACATCCAGCAGTCATTTAGTGGGGCAAGCTCAGACTTCTGGTGATCGATTAGAACTGAATACATAGATTGTGAAGTTATCTGAATTGAAAGGGTAATTCAACCCTTGGGAGTAGTCGAGAATGCCAAGGGTATGAGTATAGAGAGAAAAGAGATGAGGGCTCAGGACAGAGCCTTGGAAGATCCTTAGGCTTTGGGGATAGGAGATGGACACTGAACTGGCAAAGGACTTCAAGAAAGGTCATTCAGACAGGTAGGAGGAGAACCAAGAGATAGTGTCTTGAGAACTGAGGAAGGGGAAAGTATCTAGAAGGGATAATATAGTCAAAGTCTTCTCATCACCACCAGACATAGGAGTATTTAGTAACTTCTGCTTCAGCCCTTTAGCAAATACTTCTCCAGATATAAAATCCATCTAGTATAGAAAAGAAGACAAGCCATAATCCCTGACTGCAGGGAACATAAATTCAAGCTGGAGAGGGGAGATAAACCCATCAGAACAGCATTTACTACCTGTGTGACCCTTGTCAAGTCATTTTAACCTCTCTGAGCCTGTTTCCTCAGCTGTAAAGTGTGAAAGTCTCCCTTCCAACTCCATCATCCTATAACCCTAAGAGCAAAATTTTGAAATTTTGATTCTAAGTGCTATAGAAGTTCAGAGAAGGAAAAGATATTGTAGGCAGGAGCATTCAGGGTTAACCTCATGAAAGAGGTGGTATTCATACTGGTTTGTGACTGTGCTATTTTTCCTAAAGGTCTTGCACTGACTCACGTACTAGAACAGAACCTGAAGCTTGAAGCTGGGTCTCGCTCTGAGGCAGTTAAAGTGGTGATTCTTCTGACCGATGGCAAGTCACAGGATGATGCCCGACTTGCTGCTCAAGTTATGAAAGACCTAGGCATGGACATCTTTGCCATTGGTAAGATATACCTTAGAAGCTGGCACTTGAACCTCCTTTTAGGAGACACCTTCCACCAGCCACATTATGAGAGTAGAGAGTAGTTGAGGTTGGATAAAAACCTCTGATATTCTGTGATAATTAATCCCCTACTTCTAGGGAATGCAAAGTGCAGAGTATTAATGTTCTTTATTTTCCATTAAAGTCCAAGTTCCTGGATTATTTAGTGGGTGAGGTGAAGGCTTTTCTTGATCTCTTTTTCTATCTCAACTCCATGGCATCCTCTGCCCCATTTAGGAGCCCACTCTCTCTAGCCCTCACCATCACTATCATCAAGATCTGATCACAGGAAAGTCTCTGTCATTAGACACTTCACTGATACATTAATGGCAGTCATTGTGCTCCTTCTCCAAGGGGTATCTGCATTTTAAGCCTTTTCTCTGGCTGTAGAATGACAGGGATCTGTCCCAATGGCAAGCAGATGGAAGGGAAGACTTGATTTTCTTTGAGCTGCCTTCCAGCTCAAACAGACAGTGTTGGATAGTCAATCAATCAGTAAGTCCATCAATCAGTTATTCAGTCAGACAGTCAACAAGCATTTGGGCTAAGGACTATGTCAAGTGCTAGGAATACAAAGAAAGATGGGGCAAAAGAAGTGTCTTGTCTCTGAAATCACACTCTAAGTGTGTGCCACCTTCTTTACTTCTTTTTAAGGTTGGTCTGGTCCCAAGGATTACATTTATCAGTGGTGCCCTCGCGATTCCTGGCACTCTGGCTCCAGACTGATCTGAGTGTTGTTTTGAGAAGACACTGATCAGCAATTATCTTAATAAGACAAACAGAGACACAGCAACCTCTCCCCAGGCGTCTCTGTACACAGTGTAAATCAAATGAAGGTGATTATAGTTATCAGTTGTGGCACAATTTGGCCTCTTAGTGTGAGATCCTATTAGTATGACGTGGGTGTAGGGGAGTAGCTGGGACCTCCAAGGAGTAGGGAATGAAAGAATGTTATTTTTAAAAGAACATTTGGCTCTGTCCATGTTTCACTGTCTTTATCTCAGAGTCTATTTCTGTAGCTCTATCTATCTTTGTCTGTCTCTCCCTGCCTTTTGCCCTCTGTGAACATCTTTCTCTTTTCACAAACATGCATGCATACTGTTTGGGAATAAAGATTCCTGCTTTCTCTCCTCAAAAGTAAAACCAAAGAATGTGAACCTTTGGAGAGCAAGGGATGGTATAAGGGGTCACAAGAGATCAGAGTTCTAGTTCCAGCTTGGTCTTTGGACAGAGAGAGAATGGTTAATGCAACCTTTGGAGATTCCTTTCTTGCCCAATGGTACAGTGGAAAGGTGCTAGCTCTATTAGCCAGCATGCTAGGTCATGAGGTCAGAGGATGTGGATTCAAATCCGACCTTGGACTTTATATGTGATATTGGGTAAGTCACTTAATCTTTGTTGGGACTTGGTTTCCTCATCCATAAAATTAGGGTTCTATATTGTTCTAGATGACCTTAGAGATACTTCCCAGATTTAGATCTCTGATCCTCAGTTATCTAGGGTTTAGGGCAGGTAGAACAGGATAGGGCTAAATTCAGCAGGCAAGAAGTTTCCACCACTCTTCTGCTTACAATTCTGTCCCTCTGGTTGACAGTCCCAGACACGATCATTTCTTCTTCTCTGACAGCTGCAGAAAAACAGAGGTGGCGCTGATAGAGGGTCAGACACTTTGCTTAAGGTAGCTAGGTGGTACAGTGGATAGAGTTCTAGGTCCAGAATCAGAATGCAGGTCAAATCTAGGGTTTAGATACTTACTAGCTTGTGACTATGGGCAAGTCACTTAACCTTTTCTTATCTCAACTGTGAAGTGGGAATAATAAAAGCACCTACCTTTCAATTTTGTGGTGAGGATCAAATGAGGTGATATTTATAAAGCACTTAGCACAATTCCTGGCACAATAATTGGCACCATATAAATACTAGCTACTATCATTATTTTTGTAATAATAATAATTGTTTAAGTAAACTCCATGAAGCTCAATGTAAACAAAAAGGGAGGCAAGTGTGGTAGAGTAGAAAGGGCATTGGAATTGAAACTAGAGCATCTGGGTTTCGGTCTTAGCTTTGCTACTTACTGTGTGACTTTGAGTAAGGATACTTTACCTTTTGGGCCTTCATTTCCTCATCTGCAAATAAGGGGATTGGACTTGCTTTTCCTGAGCCACCGCTCAGTTTGAATATTCTGTGATTCTGTGGGTTAAGGTCAGTCAGTCAGCCAACTAGTCAATCAGTCAATCAGTCAATAAGCAATTATTGAGCACTTACTATGTGCTAGGGATTTTACTAAGCACTAGAGATACAAAGAAAGGCAAAGCATGGTCCCAATCTCATGGAGCTCACATTCTAATTCTGGAGACAACATGCAAATAACTATGTGCATACAACATATATACAGTGTAAATCAAAGTTAATCTCAAGGGGAAGGCTCTTGGAAGGGGAAAAAGGGACTGAAAAATTCCTTTTGCAAAAGTTGGGATTTCAGCTGACTTTTGAATGAGTCCAGGGAATCCAGGAGGCAAAGGTGAGGAGAGAAAGTATTCTGGGGTGGGGGGCAGCTAGGTGGCGCAGTGGATAGAGCACCGGCCCTGAAGTCAGGAGGACCTGAATTCAAATGCAGCCTCAGACCAAACACTTGACACTTACTAGCTGTGTGACCCTGGGGAAGTCACTTAACCTCAATTGCCTAAAAGCAAAAAAAAGAAAGAAAGAAAGAAAGAAAGAAAGAAAGAAAGAAAAAAAGAAAGAAAGAAAGAAAGAAAGAAAGAAAGAAAGAAAGAAAGAAAGAAAGAAAGAAAGAAAGAAAGAAAGAAAGAAAGAAAGAATTCTAGGCATGGGGAATAAATAGTCAGGAAATGGAGTCCTACAATGTATGTGAGAGGAGGCCAGCAGAGCTGGATCATAGAGTGTGTGGAGGGGAGTGAAGTGTAGGAATACTGGAAAGGCAAGTAGGGGTGATGTTGTAAAGGGCTTAAAATACCAAACAGCATTTTGCATTTGATCCTTGATATAATAGGGAATTAATAGACATTGAGTAGGAAGGTGAAATGATCACACCTTCACTTTAGAAAAATCACTTTTGCAGCATAATCAAGGATTGATAGGAGATTAGGAGATCTGAGGCAGGGTGATGAATAAGAAAATTATTGCAATAGTCCAGGTATGAAGGGATAATGGCCTGCAACAGTGTTAAAGAAGGTTATGGTAGATGGTGTGAGTGGAGAGAAGGGGACACATTCAAGAGATGTGATGAGGAAGGTAGAAAAAACAATTTGTTGTTCAGTCATTTCAGTCATGTCTGACATTTCATGACCCCATTTGGGATTTTCTTGGCAAAGACACTGAAGTAGTTTGCCATTTTCTTCTCCAAAAAATGACAATACTTAATTTAAAATGACAGACAATTAGATATGTGGGGTGTGTGAATGAGGAGTAGAGGATGACATCAAGATTGTGAGCCTGGGTAACTGGGAGGATGTTGGGGCCCTCAGCAGTAATTGACAAGTTGAGATGAATGTAAGGTTTTTAGGGATAAGGCAATGAGTTCTGTTTTGTGCATATTACATTTGCAATAATTATAGGACAACTAGTTTCAGATGTCCAAGAAGCAGTTGGCAATGTGGGACTGGAGCTCAGGAGAGAGATCAGAGTTGGGCCTATAGATTTGGGAATCATCTGCATAGAGATGATAATTGAACCCATGGAAGCTGATGAAATCACTGAGCAAGACAGTATAGAGAAGTGAAGAGAGCCTAGGACAGAGCCCTGGGGGACATATGCCCTTGAGACTTTCAATTATTTTCTTATCAAGACAGTTTTGCTAAACTGAAGCTCTACCTTGGAAAAGAATTTCTCATCTACAAGATCCACCAAAATACTAGTGTAGAATACACTACTGTGTTTGAGGCCATGTGCTCAGCATTGAGTGGTAAACAAAGAAGGAGAAGATGTGATATTTGCCCTCGGGAATCTCATAATCTAGTAGGGAAGATGAGGCACATATGCAAACTATTTTCCTGCAATTTTTCAAACTATCCCAAACCATGTACACACCATCCCCTCCTGCTCTTCGTCTTGCTCTAAGAACTGTAATCAATCAACATTACAATTGCTTTTGTAAAGGAAGTCAAAAGAGTGCCCATTCCTGGGTCTTCCCAGATGAAAACACATCCTTCCTTGGCCGCTACTCCTTTATATATGTAATTTCTTCCTGTTAGGATATGAGTTCCTTGAGGACACAGACTGTCTTCTTTCCTTCCTTCTTTCCTTCCTTCATTCCTTCCTTCTTTCCTTCCTTCCTTCCTTTCCTTCCTTCCTTCCTTCCTTCCTTCCTTCCTTCCTTCCTTCCTTCCTTCCTTCCTTCCTTCCTTCCTTCCTTCCTTCCTTCCTTCCTTCCTCCCTCCCTCCCTCCCTCCTTCTCTCCTTTCCTCCCTTCCTTCCTTTTCATATTTTCTTTTAAAAGCAGTGTACAGAGGGGCAGCTAGGTGGTGCAGTGGATAGACCTGAAGTCAAGAGGACCTGAGTTCAAATCCAGCCTCCAACCGAACACTTGACACTTACTAGCTGTGTGACCCTGGGCAAGTCACTTAACCCCAATTGCCTAAAAGCAAAAAAAAAAAAGCAGTATACAAAGAAGGTTATCAGGGAGGTACACAGAGCCTTCTCTGCATTTTATGGGAAGAGAAAGATAACCTGGGAAAAGAAAATAAGAGAAAGCCTCAGAGGCAGTTAGGTGGCACAGTATATAGAGTGTTGGGCCTGGAGTCAGGAAGTCCTGAGTTCAAATCTGGCTTCATTCACTTACTAGATGTGTGACCCTGGACAAGTCAATTAACCCTGTTTGCCTCAGTTTCCTCATCTGTAAAATGAGCTGGAGAAGGAAATGTCAAATCACCCCATGTGGGGTCACGAAGAGTTGGACATGGCTGAAAATGACTCAACAACATGGAAGGAGCAGGGTTCTTAGGCACACCCAGCAACTTCACCCCCAGATTTTCTCTTTGTGTAGGAGTGAAGAATGCTGATGAGTCTGAGCTGACACACCTGGCCTCTCTACCCCTGGATGTCACAGTTCACAATGTCCAGGATTTCCATCTCCTTGGCAACCTGACCAAAAGACTCACCCGACTCCTTTGCTGGAAGATCCAAGAGAGAAGCCGGAGCACGGACCTAGGTGAGGGGATACGTTTGCTGACAGCTTTGCCCCCCTGTCCAAGCAATGACTTCACTGTGGTGATATGGCATCCACTAGACAGAGAGAAAGATTGTTCCAGTGGGTGAAGGAGGAACCTCTTTTTCTATCCTTTTTCCCTCCATACCCAGCTCCCAGTTCTAGAAATGACCTCCAGAGGGAGCTGAACGAATTGTTAATGGAGAAACATTTTGGAGATCTATTTTTTTTCTGGGTCTGAGGAAGGAGCACATGGGAGGGAGTTAGCCCACCTACTTCCCTCCCCTATGCTCACCTGCAGGTGTCCCGGCTAACAGATGGCCTCACACAAGCCCTACAAATCTGATTGTATCGGAGGTGACAGCCACAGGGCTCCGCCTGGCCTGGACCCCTCCTCTAGAGCCTGCCAGGAAGTACAGGATTGTATATCATCCCTCCAGAGGTGGCACACCCATGGAGGTAAGAGGAGCCAGGAGAACATGGATAATCAAAACCTGCAAAAAATTCAAAAGATTCATCTTGGCCTTTGGTTAGAACCATTTACTAGTGGCAGAGGTCAAGTTCACATTTTGCCTTCTTTTTGTCCCCTTCATTGGTGGGATAGGGGGTGTCTGGGCGAAAGAGACAGTGGTTAGGAGAGGAAACCAGGAACTAGGATAATCAAATAACTGGATAAGTATCCCTAGTTCATTCACTCTTTGCTTATATTCATTTGGCATAACTAGAGCTAGTCCTAAAGTCCTCAGATATGGGTTTCATTTGACCGACGCAACCCTGGCCTTAGACTGGCCTCATATCCCTATCAATAGAATAAATCTTGGCCTCTGAGTCCTAATCTGGAGCATAGATCAGCTTCCCAAAAGTTGGACTGTCATGAATTTTGAGTTCTGATTAATTGAAGTTTGCAATATAGACTTAAAAAAAATTACAAGGCATTAGAACTGGAGGGGTGTTTAGAGATCATCTAGCAAATTTCTAAGTTGGGGCCCAGAGATGTTAGATGGGTTGGGGCTGGAACCCAAGTGCCTTGGCCCCCAGTCCAGTACTTTTCAACTACACCATGCTATATGAGAGGCCTTCTCCAACACCACTGTTGCCCTAGAGTAAGGTTGCTCTGTCCTTACCTGTCTTTCTTCCAGGTCACAGTGGAGGGGGCTGCCTCATCTGCCCAGCTGCTGAATTTGACCTCCAACACAGAGTACTTGGTTACAGTGCTTCCTGTCTATAAGGATGGTGATGGAGAGGGGCTCCGGGACATTGTGACTACATGTAGGTCAGGAGTAGCTCTGTGGCTAGGCCTTACCTTTGACTTTAATGAAGTGGATCCAGGGATCTTTGAATACTAAGAAGCTCTTAGCTTCTTCTCTAGGCTGTGGGAGAGTTATTATAATGCCAAATCTCGTGAGGGGATCTAGTCCTATTCTAGAAGTCATACAAGCAAGTGTTATCCAGGGGGAAGGGTCTAGGACTGGGTAGTGGGAGCGGGGAGTGGAGGGATCCTGTTGACTTGCCCTGTGACCCTGGACAAGACATAGCACCTTGCTGAGTTTCAGTTTCCCCACTTGAAACTATGACTCTACAGGTGGACCTCACTTCATACAGTAGAGGAGGTATCATGGCATGATGCCATGAATGTGCAGGCAGATCTCACTTCATACAATAGAGAAGGTGTTATGGCATAGTGTAAAGAGAACTCAGTAAACTTGGGTTCAAATACTGGGTGCAATACTAGCTTTCTATATGGCTATGGATAAGTCACGTGGTTCAGCCTCAGCCTCCTCATTTCTAAAATGAGGATACTACTTGTATTGTTTCCCTCACAGGGAGGTTATTTGGAAAGGGCTTTATAAATCTTAAAACACTATTGAAATTGAGGTTATTACTGTCATGCAAATAATGTTCATCACTATCTCCCTACCCTCCACCCCCATTCATCCCCTTTGTAAGATTGATTTCTGTTTTGAGTTTTCTTAATGTGGGGCCAACCTGTCCTGCCTCTCTCTGACACTGTGCTCTCCTTGGACAGTACCACTGTCTCCACCAAGCTCACTGACCATTTTCAGCGTGACCCACAGTAGTATCCACTTGACTTGGCAACCTGCAAATAAAGCTACCCAGTACCTGATTCACTGCACTTCATCAGCTTCCCCTAGAGAGCAGAAAGTAGAAGAGGAAGAGGAAGGAGGAAAAGAGGTATGTGCAAGCTTGTTCCCCAGGAACCCTCACTTGAACTGGTTGCTAGAGTCCTGAGGCCAAACCCAACCACTGATTTTTCCAGAGTGGTCCAGACCAGTCCAATCTATATGAGCATACTTTGGGAATGATAGTGGGAAGGAGAGGTTTAGACTTAGTCTTCTTTTTTTTAGAGCTGGGACTATTCTAACCCCCTCATTTTATACATCAGGAAACTGATATCCAGAATGAGAAACTTACTTACCAAGGTTACACAGCAAGTTAGTAGCAAATGATGGGGAAGATGGTAGTGGGGAAGGGGAGAGACCTGGGGTGAGGGTGATGAATGCTCAGCTTGATCAAACCTTCCACCACAATAGCACATTGAAGTCTTGTCCTCCAGGTGAGAGTGGGAGATCCTGAAGTTCTGCTGGAAGGTCTGGCTCCTGGCACAGAATATAGCATTGCTGTGTATGCTCTCTTTGGGGAGGAAGTCAGTGCACCCCAGAGCATCCGAGTCAAGACCTGTGAGTGACATCCTGATGACTCTTCTTTCACAAATCCTCTGTTTCTCCCTTTTTATTTGTCCTTTTGACTTCACCCCCCTTCTCCAAACTTTGGACAGCTACCTGTCCTTCCTCCATCTTCTCCTTAACAGGCATTACCCTCTTACAAAAGGAGAGCTGTCAAGGAGTCTTTCATAGGAATGCAGGGAGGGATCAGAACAAGATATTTCCTTTCAGATTTGTCTCCTCTTTGGTCAAATTATCCCCACAATCTAACACAACCCTAGTATGTTAACTTAGAAGGCACATTCAAAGATATGTATTAAAGAACCCAAATCCTCATGCTCACTAACTAAGTACACGATGTTGAATTTGTAGTATCCTTGGATCTCCCCAAACACCTGAGCTTCTCTGAGGTCAGCCACAGCTCTGTTCGAGTCCACTGGGAGGCATCATCACGGGTGGTGCGCATGTACCACGTGTCCTATGTCTCACTCGAAGGGAACCAAGCTGGGGAGGTGAGCATCTAACAGGAGAATATGATCTCAGTCATGCTAGGGTTGAGTCCCAGAGGGTCCCATAGAACAACCTGCAGGCCTCCTTGGATTTCTTTCTTCAGCTCTCCACTCCTCTGGAATGAATGATGCTTTCTTTAATCTAGGTGAATGACATAGAATGACAACTTGTTAGGTCACCGTGGGATGGTAGAATGAGAAGCTTGGAGTAGGAGGACGGGAAGGGAAGCAGTAGGAAACAGTACAGAGGAAGGGAAGGGTGGACATGCTTCTGAAGCTTAGAAGTTGGGAAATTTTTTAGCCTAAATGTAGTTGTGCCCTAAAAATGTGATTTACTAGTTCTAAGCTCCCTGGTTTCCAGTTCCTCTTATGATCATTTTTTTTTATCATTCAAAGATTCTAATCCTCATTTCTATCTTCCCTCTATGACACACTCTTATAGGAGATTGTGTGCTATTTCCAGGGTTTATTTATAAGAAAATGGAATAAATTCAGAATTATCACTATGAGGTTACATGTGATCAAAGTGCATGAAAGAAATCTACTTAGATGTCCATGTAGCTCTTAAGCTTATGAGTATTATCGAATATCTAGGTTCTTTCAAGCCTATCTGGGGTTTAGCCCCTGTGGACTATCTTCTCAGGAAGACATCTTCATGTGACTCATCCACTGCAACTACTCTGCTCTATTCCTAGGCCTGTCTTTACCATGACTTGGCTCCCCTCAACGTTTGGCTTTATTTGTTAATCCTATTTTTTTTTTTTGGTGAGGGCAATTAGGGTTAAGTGACTTGTCCAGGGGCACACAGCTAGTGAGTGTTATGTGTCTGAGTCCAGGTTTGAACTCAGGTCCTCCTGACTTCAGGGCTGGTGCTCTATCCACTGTGCCATATAGCTGCCCCTTCCTACTACAGAGTTTTACAATGCATGCCAAGTGCATAACCAATCAGGAATCACTACCCTTGCCTGACTAACTCATAATCTTGGTCAGTATGGTTCCATGTATACTCTAACAAAGTAGTTATAGCCTCCTATTAGCCACTGGGAGAGGTGACAAGAGGTGAGTCATCATATATGCAGGTATAATTGCAAGGGTTAAATATAGACAAGGGCTTCAGTTAACCTACAAAGGAAAAAATACCCCAAAGAGTAACAGAAATATACCATGACAACTACAGACTCTGTCCTGTGGACTTTTTACACAGAGGAATAGTAATCCAAAGTTATGGAGATGTACCCCCATCCATTATAAACCGTATTTTATGAGTTCTTTTCTGGGGGAAGGATATGTGTGAACCTTGGGATACATCCAGTGGCCTGGACTCCTGTGAATGGCCTCACTGACTTTGGGAGGGGAAGTAAATTGCATGGTCCTCAAGTGGCTGCCCCATCCTCCCTGGGGGGTGGGAGTGACTGTCTATAGCCTAGACTGCTGTGGAAGCCTAGAGCTTTCCTTTACCTTGTAGATAGATGTCTCCAGGAATGCCTCTTCTGTCAAGCTGGCCCCATTATCCTCCTCTACCTCATATATTGTCAGTGTCACATCAATCTACAAAGAAGGTGATTCCTCCACACTCACTGGAAGAGTGACCACACGTGAGTGAACAGAAGGCTGTGGTGAGGTAGTGAGATCTTTCTAAGCTAAAGGACAAAGTATCTCCCTGATACATCCCCATAGATATATAGCATAGCACAAGGAAAAAAATATTGAACTTGGAATCAGGCGAACTAGGTTTATCTGTCATTAAACAGTTGTGTGATCACAGATAAGTAATTTAATCTCTGAGCCTTAGTTTCCTTGTCTTTAAAATGGGGATAATAAATGCTTACTCTTAAACCCCTATATAAATATAAGCTATTATTACAAATTCTCTGCTTGCTCTGGGGAGAGAACATCCTTTATGAGGATAGAATCACAGAATTGCAGGAATCTAGATTCAGAGATGCTTAATAAATATTTACTGAATTAAATTGAAATGCAGAAAGTTAGAAACATTAAGATTGTGAGACAAGATTCTAGAAAAACAAGGTTAAGTCCTAGGAAAATAAGATAAGTCTTTATCCCAATCTAAATGGAGTCTCCTGAAATTTAGGGAAAGACAGAGGAAAATGATGACATGATGGGTGTAGATGGAAAAATTGGAGTCTCACAGATCTATTTAACTCCTATGGAGATAGAAGCCTATTTCTGTCTCCTTTCTGTCTACTGACTCCAACTCTGCCTACCACGTGCTCCTGTTATCCCAGGAGTCTAATAATGATCATGAAATCAGTGAATTACAAAGATTTCTGCCAGACCCTGGATTCCCAGAATGCTGTTATTTGAGGGCTGTAGTATGAGTTGGGGCCAGATGTCAGGGTACTGTTGAGCTCCCCAGCCATCTGCTCTGCACCTACTCACAGGCAGCTGGAAACAGCAAAGAGGGAGCAAGATCAGTGGGCACTGGAATGGCAAAACTCAAGGTCAAGATTTGTCCTCCTTTTTCTGCCCTTTAGGAAAAGTTCCAGCCCCAAGCCACTTAAAAGTAACCGAACTGCCAGGGGATGATGTCCGGCTGGAGTGGGCTGCTGCTGCAGCTTCTGGTGTGGTGGTCTATCAGATCAAATGGATGCCCTTGGGTGAAGGAAAAGCTTATGAGGTACAACTATAAGATGTGGGGTCCAGGTAGAGAGCACTATGGGAACAGGGTCTGAAAGATCTGTAATACAAAGGAGATACACGAGTTGACTTCCCCTCTCAAAAAAAAAACCAAACACCTATCCCATGACAGGAGGACCCACTGACAAAGTAGGCAGCTCTCTGGAGTTGGCCAGACCCCTCCCTGAAGACCAAGCCCTTGGGCCAAGTATCTTTGAGCTTAGACTACTACTGTTCCAGAGAACGAGTCAATAGAGTAAAGTCACCATCTTTCCCTGGCCTAGACCAAATACACCAGGTTCTCTCAGCACACATGCCTGCCTGCTCTGCACAGGAGGAATTCAGCCCTAAAAATCAGGAACCTCCAGATCCAGCATCTCTTTGTTGGATAGATCTCCTCTGTAGGTAGACACACACACACACTAAATTAGTCAACCCCAGTGTCTGGGAGAATGTACTCTCTATCCCTCATTCCATCTTTTTCTCTCTCACCACAGATTTCTGTCCCAGGGAACCTAGGCACTGCCACTTTGCCTGGTCTAGGGAAGCATGCAGAATATGAGATCTCCATCCTAGCCTATTACAGAGATGGGGCCCGCAGTGACACAGTATCCCTCAGATATACTCCAAGTAAGTGATAAATTCTACTTTTTAATCACTGAAGAGACACTGCCCAAATAAGACTAGAACCACAGCTCAGAGTCTATGGTGTATACATACTTGTATATAAAATATAACCAGAGGCCTGTTGGAGCCAGCTCCTAAGGGCATAAAAGCCAGCTGTTAAATTTTCAGTGTAAGTCTTTATACCTCCAAAATGGGCAAATGCTACAAATCAGGGATTGATTTATTGTTTTGCTAATTGTTCAGACCTAAGAAAGTGATGAAGAAAATGGTAATAATGCAGATTAAACTTAAAAGTACATCATGAATGCATATTTTCAGAGAGTTAGTTGTTAAACATTTACCAGCACACCCTGGAATATACTAAACCACACTATGATCATGGTATGATGATGGGCATTCTGTTATACACTCTGTCATACACACTAGTGAAAAGAGATTAAGGATGTGGATAATACAGTGCCTTGGAGAACGTAATCTCCATCACACACTCTCTTTTGATGATTGTATAGTAATATGAACCAAGGTATGTTGGTAAATGTTTAACAATCAACTCTCTGAAAAAAATGTACTCCTACACACTTTCAAGCTTACTCTGCATTATTAACAATAAATAGAATAAAACATTTAGCCTTGATTTATAGTAATTGCTGACTTTCAAGGTGTAAATGCTCATGTTGGAAACTAAACAATGGACTTCCAGAGCTGATTTGAGCTGGCTCCAGCACACTCTTAAATGTAACAATTATTTCTATTGGACTTTGGGATAGGCTATATGACCCCCCCAGCTCCTACTCCCAACCCTGCCTCAATCCCCAGTGACTTGGATAGCAAATCAAGTATATTCCTTACACAGGCAGGTGTTTGGAAAAGAGGGTTCTGGTATTTTCTAAATGTGGTGGGAAAGCCAGTCTGAGGTTAAAATTATACCCTAGCTTATCCACTAATGAAATACTATACACAAATAAGAAAGCTTTGATTGCATCTTGGCAGAAAGTTTTGTCACTTATTCACTGTTTGACCTTGAGAAAGTCTCTTCCCTCCTCTGTGAAATAAGGGGGTTCATTTAGATCATCTCTAGGGCCTCTTCCAGCTCTTAGGTTCAATGTTTTCCAAAGGGATCTTGCACAGTTTAGGAGGCCAAAAGGCTAATTTGTTCCAGGGCACTTAATTTACAACATGAACTTTGTCTAATGAATATGACTGGTTTATGGTCAGATTTTCCACTTAACCTGAACAGTAGGTGAAGCTTTCTCTAAGCATGTAAGTGCTTACTCACACAGAGCACTTAGGAAAATAAGAGGAACCACTTTATCTGAAAACTGGTTTTTATTCACTGGAAATGGCATATGATGTTTAAAGACCTTCTCCCCCCAAAGATTCTCTTAATTAATATTCTCTGCCTAATGGCTTCACTGGCCATGGAATGGATGTGGCATGTTTGTAATCTGCCCTCTTCTGTCTTCTTTCTTCCTTGTTCCCTGGAGGAAAAATTGCAGTTGCTTTTCAGGAAAGTTTCTATGTCTGGGAGCCTGAAGGTACTGCTGGTATTAGGGAGACAGAACCCTGATTCCAGCCTGTGACACGCAGGATTGTCTATCAACTACAGGGGTTAAGATACTTCATGTTGTGTAAGCTCAGGTGGGTGGGCCAGGCAGGTAATAATGGCAGAAAAGTCTCTCCAGAGGCTGCCCTGGGATGGTTGGAGATAGTTGAAGATTTCTACATTCACTGCTGGGAGTTTAGTGTTTTGTAATGAAATTTCTTGTGCTGTCAAGGGACCTTCTAAAGACCAGGTTTATGTATTCATTCAACAAGCACCTACTGTATACAAAGCCCTAGGCTAAGAACCAAGATGAGGAGAAAGAGGGAAAATACATAATCCTACTCTTCTGGGAACTTGCAGTCTATATTAATATGTCACTTACCAAAAATCACACAGAGTTTGTCACAGAGCTAGAATTAGCACCTAAGTCTAGCTCTGCCACTAATTTTATGTGTGACTTTAAGTAAGTTGTTTCTGAACCTCCATTTCCCTAATTGCGAAGTGATTATCTCTAAGATCCCTCCCAGATCTAACATTCTATGAGTCTATGAGTCTGGTTGAGGGGACAGAACATGAACACATGAAAGTCAAAGTAATATACTTCCAGTCATCCAGTTTCAAAATCTTACTGCCATTCTCGACTCTTCCCCACCCCTTATTTTTCATATCTAATCAAATATTGCGAATATTGTTGATTCTACCTTCACATCATCTGTTCCCTACTTAGATGGCCATCACCCTAATTCAGTCCCTCATCACCTCCCGCTTATATAATAGCCCCCCTAATTGGATTCCTAGAGATTAGATTCCTGAGGTGCACCAGAGTATGGATTGATTCTCTACTGCTTGTGTTAATTTTGGCCTAACAATTAACCCCAAGAAAATAGAGGTTCTCCACCAGCCAGTACTGCACCATCCATACATGGAAACATTAGTTACAGCAAGTGGAGAAATTTTGAATAAGGTGGGTAACCTTTACCTTGGCATTTACCTTGGCAGTATACTTTCCAAGGATGTACACATAGATGATAAGGTTGATACATGCGTTGCCAGAGCTAGCAATGTTTAGGAGGCTCCAAAGGAAAGTGTGGAGGAGAAGAGGTATTAGGCTGCCTACCACACTGAAGGTCTACAGAGCCATTGTGCTGACCTCATGGACACTATACCAGCGCCATGCTAGGAAAATGAATCGCTTCCATCTGAATTGTCTTAGAAAGATTCTGAAGATCACCTGGCAAAATCAGGTGCTGGACACAATCAAGCTGTCTCAAGCTGAAATGACAAGAATTCAAACTCTATTGCGGAGAGTGCAACTCTGATGGGCTGGCCACATTGTTGAAATGCCAAACATACGTTTGCCTAAAAGACTATTTTATGGAGAATGCACACAAAGCAAACACTCACATGAAGGTCAGAAGATACAAGGGACAAGATATAAGAACACAGACACAAGGACACTCTCAAAGTCTGTCTGAAGAGCTTTGGAATTGATTATGAGACTTGGGAAACATGGGACCACCCAGCATGCTGTGCCCTTGTCAAAGAAGGAAAGTGCTGTACCCTATGAGCAAAGCAAAATTGCAGTAGCTCAGTATGTGCAAATTTAGAGCCATCTCCATTTCAAATGTTCATATGGACTATTTGTACCTGACTTGTGATAGAGCCTGGGTCTGATCAGCCACAATCAGACACAGTTGGTCCTCTTCTAACACAAAAGACTACAACCAATTAACCAGATTCCTAGTTTCTCCCCTCTCCAATCCATTCTCCACCTAGCTGTTGAAGTCATCTTCCTAAAGCACAAGTCTGACCATCTCACTCTGCTCAAGAAGCTTTGGTAGCTCCCTATTATCTCTAGGATCAAATACACACTCCTCTGTTTGCCTCTTCACAGTTAGAATCAAGGTTAGCTCTAGAGTTGGAACTTGGCAAAATTATTGCCTAATACTTCCCAACCCTTCCTATCAAAAGTCTTGGATATAAACTCATTCACTGAACAGTGTGGATTAAGTGTGAGGTCCCTCTCAGGGATGTTTGCATTGAAAAACAGGAGGTAGAAGATAGAAATATTTAATGAAAATGAATGAATAATGGCAATACAGGCCTCATTAAAAATCCTTCATGCACTCTGCATTCCAGCCAAACCAACTTACCTCCTTACCTGCTATTTTGTCAACTCAACATTCCATCTCTGACTTCATGACTGGAATGGACTCCCTTCTTTTCCACCTTCATTTCTGGGAATCCTTAACTACCGTCAATACTCAGCTCATGTGTCATCTCTATAGGAAACCTTTCCTGCTCCTCATAATTGTTAATACTCCCTCCTTCTCCTCTCCCTCAATTCACCATGAATATATTAATCAGGCAACATAATGTAGTGATTATAGAGCTGGCCTCAAACTGGGAAGACCAGAGTTCCATCTCTGCCTCTGACACATACTGGCTGAGACTCTGGGAAAGACAATTAACCTCTCTGCTCTAGGCAACTCTGTAAGTAGAATGTAAATTGCATAGGAAGAGCAGACCTGAAAAAAGGGAATGTTATCATCTGGGTGTTAACATACCAAAGAAATAACAAGTTCAATCCCTATACCATTTTTATCTTCTCCCTTATTATATCTCCCAATAAAATGTAAGCTCCTTGGGGGCAGGAACTATTTTATTTTTATCTGATTCTCAAGTGCTTAACAAAATGCCCTCCCTGCACATACTAAGTGTTTAATTAAATATTTGTGGGATTTGATTGAATCAGAATGTCGCAACAATATATAATTAAGTGAAGGGGTGATCATAATGTGGGGGAGTAATCAGGGAAGGACTAACGGAGAGGTGTCTAGAATTAAGTTTTAGTTTGTGGGATGGCAATAGCCATGGAGAAGAACATTCTAGGTGGAAGGAACTGCAAGAACAAAAAGTTACAGAGGCAGAAATAAGCAGTTCAGAGGGTAGCCTAATAGATTCCCTTAAATCAAGGTGCACCATCTTTCTACCTCCCCTCATCCCCACTATACTACTTCGAGTGTAGTCCGCATCTCATTGTCCCTTGCTATTTTCATAAGATTGGTAAAATGAGCCCATGTCCCTTAGTGACCTTTGCCATCTCTAGGCAGCCCCATCCTCATTTTCCAAGGCACTGTGTTCTTTGCTACAGTGAGCAGGAATCCACCCTTGAACCTTGTGCTAACCTCAGAGACTCCCAGCAGCCTTCGGATCCTCTGGACACCCCCTAATGACAACGTTCTGCACTACAGACTCACCTATGCCCTGGCCTCTGGCTCTAGCCCTGAGAAAACAGTAAGTCCAGGCTGAATTGGGGAAGAACACTCAACTGAAGTATCATTAAGGTGACCAATTCATTCTACATTATAGAGGCTATCCTTTATACAGAGTCCTAGGATAGGGGTGGGGAAGAGAAGTGGTGAGAAATGTAGATACTGCTCTGTCTTTGAGAGTAAATAAAGCCAGTCTGGAGAAGGAGAAACAGAACTAGCCTAGGGGTGGGCAGTGGGATGGGGACTAGTCTGAAGAAAGATTCATAGTCCTGCCCTGAGATGGACGGGGTAGAGATTAGTTTCTGGAGGAAAACCTAGCTCTCCCTTAAGGGAGTCTGTAATATGAGGGAGAAAGTGCATAACTAAACAAAGAGAGCACTTTCAAAGCAATATATCAATTAGTAATGATGAACAGAATGGAGACAGACATGTCCTTGCTTGGATGACAAAAATTCCTTCTGCTGTTCCCGGTAGATCATAATTCCCGGCCCAGAGAACCACGTGACACTTCCTCTCCTGCTCCCTGGGACCAAGTACAAGATTATGGTTTCAGCTGTGTACAGGCTAGGGGAGAGCAATGTTGTGTCTGCCATAGGAAGGACTGGTGAGTGCACTAACCTTACCCCTATCTCCAGGCACAGTGATCAGCGGCTGACGAGCGGTAATCGATCCTGGCATTGTACTTGAAAAGTACTTTGAACTTCTTTCCAAGCCTAATCACATGCCAGGTCTCATCTGATCTTCCCAACAGTCCTGTGAAGTGGGGCAGGGCAGGAATGATTATCCACATGTTAGAGATGAGAAAATCAAAGCTTTAAAATATTGAATGACTTTCTTTTGATCACAGAGCTGGTAAGTGGTGGAGGCAGACCTCCTGATCTCTTGACTTTGGAGCCTAGGGCCTTCTCTATCATGCCAGGCTTAAGTTTGCCTTTAGCATACTCTATTTCCTCTCGCTGAGCCATTTCTTGTCCTTTTACTGTCTCCTTCTGGGCTCCCACTGCCCTAATCCTGCCAGAGCCTTTCCAGTGAGGGAGGAAAGACTGATAATCTCATGATGTGGAGGACTGAGCAGTGTTTCCTTCCAAGGGTGTTTTCATTTTAAGACAGAAACTAGGAGAGCTTTACCATAAGGAATGAATGCTGGAAACTGAGCAATTATGAAAAGGCCATAGGGGAGAAATCATCAGGTATTGTATAGGATGTAGAGCTCTCATGGTTGTTTTCATTCAGTCGTTTCCATCATGTCTGACTCTTCAAGACCCCATTTGGGCTTTTCTTGGCAAAGATACTGGAGGGGTTTGTCATTTTCTTCTCCAGCTCATTTTACAGATGAGGAAACAGAGGCAAACAGGGTTATGTGACTTACTCAGGGTCACACAGCTATTATAATGTCAGAGGCCAGATTTTGAACTCAGGTCTTCCTGACTCCAGACCCAGTGCTTTACCCACTGAGCACCTTAACTGCCCTTATGCACCTTGTTATTTGTCAATCACTGCTCTAACAAAGGCCTCTTTTTTTTGTTTTTAGTTTTCTTTGCTTTTAGTCCTGTCTCTCTCAAGAAGCTGACAATCTAATGGAAGAGATAGTATGTAAACAGCTATGTCCAAATAAAATATAGACAGGATAAATTGGAGATAATCTCAGAGAAAAGGCACTAACATGGGGTAGAAGGAGTTAGGAAAATCTTGCAGAAGCTGAGATTTTGGCAGAGAATTGGAGAAAGCCAGGAAACCAGGAGGCAAAGGCAAGAAGGGAGAACAGATTGGGCATGGAGGACAGTCAGTGAAAATGAGTGTCTTGTGTGAGGAGCAGAAAGGAGATCAGTGTCACTGGATTGCAGAGTATTTGGAAAAGAGCAAGGCATAATAATACCAGGTAGAAAGGGATCAGGTTATGAAGGGCTTTAAAAACCAAACAGAGGGTTTTATATTTGATCCTGGAGGTAATGAAGAGTCCCTGGAGTTTACTGAATAGTGAGGTGACATGATCAGACCTGTACTTGAGAAACATCACTTTGATGGCTGAGTGGAGGCTAGACTAGAGTGGAGAGAGACTTGAGCAAGAAGACCAACCAGTGGGCTATTGTATTGTCTAAGACCAAGGGGTTGAGAGCCCAGACCAAGGTAGTGGCAGGGTTAGAGGGGAAAAGGGGCTATATTACTGTATGTAGGTAGTCACCTAGTAACACTGTATCTGAGCAACCCAGCTTCTCATCTTTACTGGGGCAGGTCATGAGCCAGCTCTCTGTGTTGTGTGATCATCTCCTACCTCCATCCAATAATCTATTTTGGATGAACTCCAGCTTTTAAACGCACCATTTAAATGTGCCAGTCTCATTTAAATGTAAAGACCAGTGTAATTATATTGACCAAGCTTGGTCCCAAAGAGGAGATGAAAAAAGCATACCTCCTTTTTCTTCTTTTCAGAAGTGGAGAACTATATGTGTGTAACATTATATATACTGTCAGATTGGGTAACATATTAGATAGTTTTGCTAAACTGCTTTTTAAAAACAAATCTTTTTTAACTTTTGTTACAAGGGATGGTTTGATGGATAAAGGTGAGAGAAGGGTTACATTTAGCAATAAAGTGACATAAAACCAAAAGCTATCAATACAAATATTTAAAATATAAACACAATGACCAGGGCAGGGGATGAAAGGACCACCATTCCCTTCATTCTGAACTATAATGTCAGGAATAATGTATCAATCTGGATAACTAAGGTGGCATTGTAAATGCTAAGTCACCTGGAAACTGATCTCTCCATTTCCTTACCCTGGCTTACTCATGTTAACCTGTTTTCTTTTAAAACAAAACACAACATTTTATTGGTATCTTTTCTCTTTTCATAACAATTATTTCAACTCTTTCCTACACTCTATTGGCACTGTTGTTATTGTTCAGTAGTTCAGTCATGACAGGCTCTTTGTGACCCTTGGACCATAGCACATCAATGGAGTTTTCTTGGCAAAGATACTGGAGTGGTTTGCCTATTCCTTCACCATTGAATTAAAGCAAAAAGAGGTTAAGTGACTTGCCCAGGGTCACACAGCTAGTAAGTGTCTGAGGCTGGATTTGAACTCAGGTCTTCCTGACTCCAGGCCCTGGCTGTCTATTCACTGAATCATCTAGCTGTCTTCAAGGAAAATTGAGGTTAAGTTACTTGCCCAGAGTCTCCTTATGTCAAAAAACAAGAGTTAGGCTAGTGCTCTCCTGACATGAGTGAATAGGTATATTTTATTATCTGTTCTGTGGTATTTCCATTGATTTTTTGATCATTCAGTCCAGCTTCCTTCTAGTGATCTTTCTATTTACATTGTTATCATTGTATAGATTGTTTTCTTGGTTCACTTTATTACTCTGCATCAGATCATGCAACTATTCCCATGTTTCTCTGAATTTCTTATAGTTTCCACTTCTTACTGTAAAAAAAATATTCTATTACATTTGTGAACTATAGATTTTTTAGCCATTTCCTAATCAATGGGCATTTATTTTGTTCAAAAATATTCTCCAGAAGCCAGACACTGGCAGCTAGAAGCCTCATTTTATAGAAGTAACTGTTTGCTGTGTCCAAATTACCAGATGCTGCAGATACAGTAACCACAGTTCATGAGGAAACTTTAAGGTCCTACGGGTCGATTATATTGGTGGCTGTGAAAATGATTGAGGAAAATGAATCTACAAATTACCCTTGACTTTTCAGGGACACCTAAGTTTTCATCTTTAGCTTCCCTGGTCTCCAATTCTGCAAAATTCAGTGTCTGGAGAATTAAAAAACAAAGAATAGCTATCATGTGCAACAGAACTGATTGGCCTTTCTTGCCCTTCCTCATATACTCCTATAATTTCTGAGTTGAAAGAGTTCTCAGATGTCAATCTATTCCACCCTCCTATCGTGTACAAAGACTGCCTCAATAGCATCTCTGACAAGTGGACATTCAGAGAGATGGCAAACGTATTGCTTAACAATACCGCCCACGTCATGGTTACCCAACTCTGCTTGGTAGGAAGTTCTTCCTCAGATTGAGCCTGCCTGTAACTTTCACCCTACCCTCTGAAGCCAAGCAGATCAAGTCTAATCCCTCTTTCACTTGCCAGTCATTTCCATATTTGCCAGTCATTTGCATATTTGGAGACAGTGACCAAGTCTCCCCTGAGTCTTCTCTTCTTTAGGCTAAATCCTTCTAATTCCTGTACCCATTTCTTACCCAGTTCCCTCTCCATTCCAGTTGCTCTTTTCCAGACACTCTCCAGTTTGTCAGTGACCCTCTTAAAATGTAGTACCTAGAACTGGGCACAATATGCCAGATTTGGTCTGACTAGGAAGAACAGAGGAATTCTCTTTTTGCTCATCTTATTCTAAATGCTAGCTTTCTACCAAGCAACATGATAAAGGTAGGGGCATCCTTATACATAGACAGATCAGAACATTGCTATGAGATCTGATTTAAGGGGTTAATATGCTCTGACCCTTCCAAAAAAAAAACTATTCCACCCGAAAATGCTTTAACAGACCTTACTTTACACAATGAGAGATGAGGCTCAGAATGTGGACAGGGAGAAGACTGATTCCAGCTCATTCATACATGTGACTGAGATTGACCAGCAGGTGCAAGAGTAGCTTTTAAATTCCAGAGGTGCCTAATAGTCAACTGGTCTGTCTTATGAGGTAGTGATCTTTCCATCATTCAAAGTGATTGAGCAGACTGGATATGCACATAAGAAGGGAGTTGTGAAAGTATGCAAAAGGAGTCTAGAGAAGGTATTTAATATCTGAGTGACCTTGGCTTCAATATCCTTCTCCATCATTAAAATGAGGGAGTTGGCCCAGGTTATGTCTAAAGTTCCTTCTATCTTTCTGTAATCTCTAGTTCTATCTTGAGACGAAGATTTAACCAGGTTTGGATATTGTTTTCTGCCTTTTTTGAATGAAAACAGGTAGGTGATTTTTGTTTTGACCACAGTAGTCTTTTTTCTCTCTGCAATCCCACCCAGAGGCTCCCTCTCTGTTTCCAGAACAATGGATTTTGGCTGCTCCAGAATGAATGGACTTGGAAGACTCATTCATTGGATGAAGTCTAAAAAAGTTGACAGCTCTCATTTGTGTGGGGAGGACCAAGGATAGGAATAATTCCCAAATGACTAACATTTAGTTTTAGAATTTAGAAACAGGCTCACAACAGAACATTCTTCTGGGAAGATATACTTGGGCTCTCAATGACCAGATCAGCACTGTGGTCAATAGCCTAGGACCAGCTGGTTAGTAGAGCAGAAAAAACCTGTAGACAGTCTCCCAATTGTGGATAACTGAGAGTAGTTCATATATAGTCAATGAGTTTCATTTCAGAAAAAATCCTCACCTCTTTAAGGGACTACTAGGCACATATTCTGGCTCTAATATTTTCTGTGTGACTAAAGGAAAACTACTAAACCTCTCTGATCTTGAGTTTCCTCCTCTATAAAGTAATAAGTTACATTTACATATAAAGTTGGTGTGAGGTTGGTATTTCCTAAACTCTGGGAATGAGTTCCAAAATACTGTCCCAGGACCTCCTCATGACAATTCTGGGGCTGATGTACTTGGTTACTTGATGGGCTAAACTTGCTTTCCTAAATACGTTCTCTATTTGTCTCTTAGCGGCTTGCCCAGCTCTCCGTGCTAACGGCTCTCTGCCAGGTATGGAACCTATTTATGTCCTGTTCCCAACCATGCGTTAAAGTAGTTCTACCAAGCTCTGATCTCTCAGATTCATCTTCCCTCCTGTTCTTGTTCCCCTATACACAATACAATCCTAGTATCACTGTCTTCTTCTTCTCCTCCTCTTCCTCCTCCTTCTTTTCTTTTTCTTCTCCTCTCTCCAATCTTCTATTCCATAGAATCTCTATCTCCTCCTCTTCCTCCTCTCTCTCTTTTTTTCTCTCTACCTCTTTCTCTCTCTTTCTCATTCCCTCCCTCCTCTCCTCCCCTTTCTTGTGTCTTTCTCTCTTTATGTCTTACACACACACACACACACACACACACACACACACACACACACACACACTGTGTGGAATTTTATATCCAATCTTCCTCTTACTAAAGATGTCAAATATATAATGGCTACTAGAATCCATAGAATGGCGAGGGTAGGAGTAGGAGGAAAGGTATTAGGAAGAGGATCTTTTAAAACAAACTTACTCATTTTCTAGGCTTTAAGATAACTGGCTGTTACCCTTTGCCTTCTGAAAGTTCTGATAAGCCAGAAACATGAATTCAGATTTCACTGTCTGCTTTATGCCAATTAATATCTGAAATGAGGAGTGAGTCAGAGTGCTTTGATAGCCAGCTAAGACAGAGGAAAACCAGCCAGCATGGTGTGATTGGCTCATGGTGGAAGGAAGAAACTTCTGAAAGTCCTGATAGGACTCTAGAGAGTGTGAAAATAAGTGACATAAAGAGCCAGGAATGGAAACACAATTTTGATGGATTAGAAACTTCTGTGATATATGAAACATAAGGTGGGACAGGCAGAGGTAAAAATTACTTTCCTTCCAAGCCTTACAGAGTTTGCAGATATTTCTTTCTGACAATGCATTTGGTGCCATATTAGGAAGAAAAAACTCATTACTGATCTCTTTTTAAAACACACACACACAGAGACACACATGCACCAGCTTATTAAGTGTTTGTTAGGGCAGAGGAATAGGTAATGTGTCTTTCCTACTGTGGGAATCTCATGCTGGTAATTCTATCTCTTGGGTCTGCCTGGATGGGGAGAGAAAGGAGCTAAGATGACTCTCTCTGAGGTGGCCATAGGCTCTTCCAATGCTTAGGGTCTAAGGCATTGGGTGATGATGTCAGGTAGACCAAGGCCTTGGCAGCAGGTGCTGAGTGGCCCCAAGCTCTGAACAGGCAGTTACACAGGGCTTGGTTCATGTTTACAGGGCCTTGAAGTTGGCATATCACTTTTTTTAAATTTTGTAGGCAATGGGGATTAAATGACTTGCCCACATAGGTAGCTAGTAAGTGATTTGAACTAAGGTCCTCCTGACTCCAGGGCAGGTGCTGTATCTACTGAGCCACCTAGCTGTCCCCTAAGTTGTCATATTATTTAGCAAGAACACAGTCACTTGGAGAGTGGCAGCTTGTTAAGTAAGCAAGAAGACAGATAGAAGAGAACAAGGAGGCCTCCGCGTCATGTCTGCATGTAGCATGCATATTAACACCACTTGGGTCATAGAATAATCACAAAAGCTAAAAGCAAAGAATAAACCCGCTAATTGGAAATTTTAAACTCTGCCACCAAGGGGATTCTCCGTCTGTCTCCCTCTTCTCTCTCTCTCTCCTTTTCTCCTTCTTTTTCTCTCCTCCATCCTCCTCACTGTCCTTCTCTGCCCTACTGCTTGTCTCTGCATCTTTCTCCCCGTTCCTTTCTCCCTTTACTGTCTCTCTCTTTCTCTTTCTTTTTCCCTTCTTATTCATCATTTTTTGAATGTTCCAGGATTTGACATGATGGAGGCTTTTGGCTTGGTGGAAAAGGAGTATGCATCCATCAAAGGGGTCTCGATGGAGCCCTCTATCTTCAGTGGAACTCGGACCTATACACTCTTCAGGGATGTCCAGTTGATGCGTCGAGCCAGGTAGGACCAAGGCAGGATGATGCAGTGGAGAATGGGCTGGATTTGGAGTTAGTTAGGGGACCTGGGTTTGAAGCCTGTTTCTGCTGCTTACTACACGTGATCTTGAGCAAGTCACCTAATCTCAATAAGCCTCAGTTTTCTCATCCCTAAAGTGAGGAGGACTAGATGGACTTCTGAGGTCATCTTGCTTGCTGCTCTATATATGATTCTCTGATCCCAAGATCCTGTTCCAAGGGGCTTCTCTATGGGCAATGCCAGGGGCCAAAAAGGCCCCTCCCTAGAAGGGCTGGGCTTTCCATATTTTCCTACTTCCCCAAATGTGGAGAGTTAGGCTTAGTACAACCCTTCCTGCATTGAATCCTGAGCTTCAGAAAGACCATTGTCCACCCCACCCCACTCCTCTGAATTCTGCCACCGCTTAGAGAAGCTGGAACATATATAGTCAAGATGTTCTGTCCTCCCCACTCTTAGGTTGACAGTACCCTGATAGGAGCTGTCCCTAATATCTCTCCTGGGGTGGGGGTGTCTGTCTTTGTGTTAATCTAGTGAAATCCATCCAGCTGCCCTCCCACCGGAGCACACCATCAGCTTTCTCCTCCGTGTGCTCCCAGAGACACCTAGGGAGCCCTTTGCACTGTGGCAGATCACTGATGAGACCTTCGAGCCCCTTCTTGGAGTCACCCTTGATGGTATCATTTTAGGGTTCCTAGAGGGTCAGGGCCCCAAGTCTGTAGACAACCCCCCTAAATATTGTTGCCTCAATCACCCTAAGCAATTAATTTGTGAACTCCGTTCATGAGAACGGAGCTACTTGAGTGGCTGTAGAAAGCTGGAGAAGGTAGTAACTTCACATTTTTAAGGATCTACCAAATAATACTTGCAGTCAGCTCTTAATTGCGTGTATGTGCATTATCCACTGAAGGTTTTTAATTCCAGGCCTGTCTCTCCTTATCCTCCCCCACCCCTGTTACCCTAGGCAGACATCTGAGCTACCTCTTCCTTAACTCCAACCACCCTCCCCCAACCTACCTCTTTCCACCACTATCCATCTACCATTAACTAGGAGTCAAATAGATCAATTGCAACTTTGACCTCCCCCCCCCATGCCAAACATAGGGAGGTGAAATCATTATTTTTGATGTGTCATTTATTCTGAAGACAAATATTTGTGACTTTTGAATGTCACTGTTTTCACAATATTACCTACTTGAACAAATAAATGAGAGTTGCCTGCAAATCTACTGTTTGCCTCTCTCCCCAAACCTCTTTCCAGCCCTCTTGTTCCATCATCCACACAGTGTAACAATTGTGAACACCTTCTCTACAATTACAATTCATTTTGAGAAACTAGTTTGGGAGTGGCTCGTGGACCCTGAATTCCATACCTGGTCATAGACTGAGGGTGAAAGGTGTGTCCAATTTGGGTCATCTGCTCTATCATCATTTGATTTTTTTCCCCCCTACAGCTGGCAGAAAGTCCCTGACCTATTTCCATCGTGACCACAAGGCTGAGTTGCAAGAAGTCACATTTGATTTGCAGGAAGTGAAGAAGATATTTTATGGGAGCTTCCACAAGGTCCTAACTTTGAAAAGGGTCACAGCTTGCACACTGACCTGAGTTTTTATTTTTTAATTTTTGCTTATTTTTTATTTTTTTGTGAGGCAATCAGGGTTAAGTGACTTGCCTAGGGTCAGGCGGCTAGTGAGTATCATGTGTCTGAGGCTGGATTTGAACTCAGGTCTTCCTGAGTCCAGGGCTGGTGCTCTATCCACTGCACCACCTAGCTGCCCCCTGACCTGAGTTTTTAGCACAGGCCACTTAGTTCTTAGTCCTCTGCCATCCTGTCCCCATGTTCTGGGCCCAATTGTCTCTGACTCTGCCTTGCCTGAAATATTTCCCATACTGCATTTCTAGAGAGCTTTTCACCCTTTTCTCACATCTCTGTACATTTTAGGTAAATATTCTGTCTTCACTGGCTAAATGCTTTACTGAGTGGATCATGGTAGGGGAGGGGAGGATGACTTACCTAAGATAATACAGCTTGTGAGTGGCAAAGCCAGGGCTAGGATTTTGGGCTCCTGAGAAGAAAGAACACTGGACTAGAAGTTGGAACTAGGCTCTTGTCCTGGATCTGTCATCCATTAGCTCTGGGGCCTACAACAAGCTACTTCCCAGGCTGGGTCTGTTTCAAACCCTTTGTACAATGAGCAGTTTGGATTAGATCAGGGGTTCTTAATCTCTTTTGTGTTGTGGAGTCTTTGAGCAGTCTGATAAAACCTCTGGACCCCTTCTTAGAGTAATTTTTTTTTTACTTAAAGGAAATGCTAAGTTTCAGTTAAAGGTTAGTGAAAATACAGGTCTAATTTTTCCCCATCCAAGTTCAAAGACACCATGAAATCTATTCATGGCCCTGGATATGTGGGTTAAGAACCTCTGGATTAAATGATCTCAAAGTTTTTTGATTCAATTAAATTCAGTTTAACTATGTGTAAGGCATTGTTCTAGGTATTAGAGATAATAAACACAAAATGATACAAATTAAAATAGTCTCTTCCCTTAGAGAGCTTATAGTCTACTGGAGGATATGACACATAAACAAATAAGTATAGCATGGGGAAAATTGAGGACAGAGAAAGCACTAACAACTGGGAGGATCAGAGAGAAGGCTTCAAGAGATGGTGGCACCTGAGCTGAGCCTTGATGAAGCTAGGCATTCTGGGAGTTGTGAGGTCAAGATGAGAAGAGATTACCCTCTGGGTATGGGGAACAGCTTGGCAAATGAGCAGTGGCTGGAAATGGAGTATTAAGTCTGGGTAGCAGCTAGTAGTTCATTCTCTGCAAGAGCAGAGAGTTCACAAAAGGAAAGGAAGTGGAGGCCAGATTGTGAAGGGTCTGAAAGGCCAGGATAAGGAGCTGACATTTTATCCTAGAGAGAAGGAAAAGAAACTGGAGGTTTGTGAGCTGAAGAGTGACATAGTCAGCCCAGTGCTTTGGGAGGATTGTTTTGGCAATTGTGCAAAAGATGAATTCTGGATGGGAGAGTGGCAGCAAAGTGACCATTTCCAAGGTTGATACAGTAGTATAGATGAGAGGTCATAAGGGGAGAACCTGGAAGAAGGCTGTGGCTCCCTGAGTGGCAAGAAGAGTGGATGAGTGCAAGAGGCTGGATCACTAAGAATTGGCAACTGATTGGATACAGGCTGGGAGGGTGCAGAGACAGAGAAGGATGAGTTTAGAGTGACTCCAAGGTTATGAATCATGGTGATGAGGAGGAGGATGGTGCCATTAACAGAAAAGTAGAAGTTTGGCAGAGGTATAATTTTAGACATGCCACATTTGAGATGCTTGCAGATTATCCAAAAAGAAATCTAGGAAGCAGAAGGATGCAGCCCACCCCCACTTCACATTGAACCCTATCTTACAAGAAAAACAATCAAGCAAATACATCTTATACAATAAATGTATCTGACAGTATACTGACCATTCAGCCCTAGTGGTCTCCATCCTTCTGAAGAGAGGTATTTTGCTCTACATCAGTTCATACAAATCTTCCCTTGCTTCTCTGAATTCCTTTGTATTCGTCATTTCTTTATCCATAATAATCCCTGCATTATATTCATGATAACACTATGGTAAAAGGTTTCTTTTCCAGCCATTCTTCAATTAATGGGTACCTGATTTAACAGTTAAAAGACAGCTGGTGACCTTGGAGAGAGCAATTTCAGTAGAATGATTACTTGAAAAGACATAGTGTAAAGGACTGAGAAGTGAGTGGGTTGGGAAGAAGTGGTCGAGACAGCAGCGGTGGAAGGTGTGATGTAAGATGATACTGAGGGGATGGCTTTATGAATATTATTGCCATCCTGGAGCTGTCATTAGCTTTGGTTAATTCTCAGGTGGTAGCATTTTGCCTTATGCTTCTAGGCAAAGGGCTTCATCCTTTGGACCTGGTAGGTGATCTTTGCCAATCAGAGTTTCCTTTTCTATATTCACTTCCTCTATCCCCTACAAAGCACTGGGGCCAATGCTGCTTGGCTCTCTCCTTGGCAGGTACATGTGGCAGTCAGTCGCACCAAGGTCAAGCTCTATGTTGATTGTCGGAAGGTCACAGAGAGGCTGATCAGTGAGGCAGGGAGCTCATCAACTGCAGGATTTGTCATGTTGGGAAAACTAATGAAGACCAGGGGCCCCCGGAGTGGCTCAGCAACTGTAAGCTCAAGCACATTTCCCTTCTTGTTGGGGCTGTGATCAGTGGGAAGACAAACTTGGCTGTCTTCATAGCTTTACCTAAGTCTCATCCTGGTTAGGTCTAAGTTGGCCATCTGTCCAGTGTACAGTACTGATCACACCATCATCTTTGTTGCATTCCTAGTTTCAGCTCCAGGCCCTGCAGATTGTTTGCAGTGACACCTGGGCGGAGGAAGACAAATGCTGTGAGGTACCTGCTCTGGTATGATAACATGCCTTCATTCACTGCCCCATTCATTGACTCACTTATTCATTCATCTCCCCGTTTGTTTGGTCATTTAACAAACATTTAATAAGAACCTATTATGTACAAAGCTCAGTATAATATATAAACAATAAATAAGCCATGGTCCCAGTCCTCAAGGACTCTATGGGAAAAAAAAAGTCAAATGCATAAAAAACATAATGTGGTAAAGATCATAAGAAGGGCACAAATAAAGTGCTATAGGGGTTCAGAGACAAGAGAGGTCATATTCAATTGAGAGGAGTGGCGGGAATCAGGAAGGCTTCACAAAGGAGGTTCCATTTGAGCTAAAGAATGAGTACAATTGTGTTTGGGATAGTAGAACTCCGGGACACTTATTCACTTAGCATCTCCCCATTAGTCAGGACAATCACTCCAAGACAGGCAGGCACCCACTTCTACTATTGGAGTGGGGTGTCCTGTGCTAGAAAAGGTTTTTTGTGCCCCTCAAATTTACCAACGTGCATATATGGTGGCCTTAATTTATTAGGTTCTAGACAAATGTTTATAAGTGGGCAAATATATTTCCTTTCTTTTCAGAGAGATGCAGAAACCTGCCCTGCCCTGACTTCTGCCTGCACTTGTCCTTCAGATCAGCCTGGTCCTCCAGGGCCTCCAGGGCCCCCTGTAAGTTCACCTTTCCCTTCCTTATTCTATGACCACAGGCACCTGTCTGACCCAGAAGGACAGCTGTGGGGGAAACCATACTCTTGCCAAGCAATGGGAACATCCAGAAGTGTTCCCCCTTAATCCTATAAGCACTTGGCTGGTTCTAGAACTTGACCCCAATCTCAGAGATGGGCTTGACCATTTGGTCATCATTAGGCCCTCTCCCCTCTCTCACTTTTCCTACCCTCTCAGGGCTAGATGAACCTGAGATCACTGAGGATTTCACAACACAGGGCAGAAGGGTGAGTCAGGCCTGTCCATCCTTTCTATGAAGCTGTCTTAGAAATATGGGTCAGGTTCTGTCATGGTAAAAACTGTTGCAGAATTAGTTCAATGAAATTTGAGCTCTCTAAGCCCTTGTCCAATGACCCACTAGAGGAAAGAACATGGAACTGGGAGTCAGAGACCTGGGTTCTAGAATGGAATCTGCTATAAGCTGTGTGACAGAAAACAAGTTAATTTATCCTCATGATTCTCCATACACCCAACAGTTAAATGAAGAAGTTAAACACCAATCACTTCTGCGACCCCTTCCCAGCCCTAATAGCCTTCAGTTCTATGATATGACAGAGTAGAATGAATGCTGATACAACAAAGAATCCTGGATACTTTGTCATGTTGGGATTTGACCAGGAAGAATTTTTACCGTGGAGTTACCTTGACCCCCTATCAGGTGTAAAATCATATTTATTCCAAAGTTTCAATCTTTCAGCATTTAAGAAGGACCCAGATCAGGTATTAGTGCGAGACCAATCTATTTCCCAGATTGAAATACGCTTACTGTGGCCAGACAGCCCAATCTCTGAACACATGTTTTGCTACATGATGGCTATGTGGTGACCCCATTAGCAATATCTACCACAGGCCCAGGTACTTGGCTGCCCTAACTTCATTGAGAATATTATTACTTGTATTCATCTCTGTCTGCAGATTTTTTAAACTTTCATGTATTTTTAAAATTATTTTGTTTTCTTTCCTTCTCATCTCCCTCTCCAAGTTGGGAAAAGAAAAGAAAAACAAAACCTCTGTAACACATAAGCATAATCAGGCAAAACAAATTCCCACATTGGCCAAGTCCAAAAAAAATTTATCATCTGATTATCTTTGCACAGATCAAAGCCTTAGGACTGGGCATTTAGTGGGCATGGGGATAGGGAAGTGGAAGGTTGTTTTGATTAGCAATATATTACTTATTTCTGAAAGGCCTGGGGGGACCAGGCAGCCTTTCCAAGGCACTGTTTTACCCAAGCTTCCTTCATATAAAGGTTTACGTTAGGAGAAAATTAAGGCCCTTCCTTAGCTTTCCTTCTCTCTCTATTCAAGTAGATTCTGTGATTTATTAGCTGGGATTCCCTCTCTAGCCCTTGCTCCATGGATAATTGGAATGTACATAAGGAAAGGATAGGGATAGCAATTAGGCCTGGGATTTCTTTGTTACAATGAATTCCCTATAAGGATTACCTTACTTATAAAGTAAGGAAACTTCCATCACCAATACAGGTTAGCAACTATACTGCAATTAAGTCTTAGAGAGTTGCCTAGCACAGAGAAGTTAAGTGACTTGCCCAAGGTCTCATAGGCAGTATATGTCAGAGATAGGATTTGAATCTGGGTCATCCTGGCTTTTAGTCCATTGGTGACACAGAAAATGAAAGGAAAATTCTAGATCTGTTTGGTGGGGAGTGGTTGAAATAATAATGTCTGCCAGCTATTCTCCTCCAGAGTCAGCCCCAATTGGCCTCACCCCTCTGTGAAAGGTCTCCAGAGATTATTTGTTCACCTCAGGAAAAGAGAGAAAGAGAGAGAGAGAGGAGAGAGAGAGAGAGAGAGAGAGAGAGAGAGAGAGAGAGAAGAGAGAGAGACAGACAGACAGAGAGAGACAGAGAGACAGAGAGAGACAGAGAGACAGAGAGACAGAGAGAGAGAGACAGAGAGACAGAGAGAGACAGAGAGAGAGAGAGAGAGAGAGAGAGAGAGAGAGAGAGAGAGAGAGAGAGAGAGAGAGAGAGAGAGAGTACTAGAAGAGAAAGAAAATGATAAAGTCAAGAGTGATCCAAGTGATTAGGGCAGCTCTTTGGCTGGAGCTGGCTTCATGCCTAATGAGCACAGCATCTCATTAAACCCCCTCAATCTGAATCCCAGGGCCAGCCACTTTTTTGTAAGATTAAAGCCCTACACATTTCTGCAGCAACTGGGCTGAATGAGGGTGAGCTTCCATTCTGAGACTGGACTCTCCCATCCAGAGCCCAGCTCAATGGACTGCCTATCTCATCCTGCCTTACCTGGGGGATTCTTGAGAGATAGTTCTGAAGATGTTTTTCTTTCATCCTAAATCCAACTCCACTGTGACCTAGAACACCTCTAGAACCTTTAGGTTCCTTTAGGCATTGTTCTTTGCTTGGAATGCTTGTTTTCAGGGTTCATGATACAAAATACAGTTAATGAAGTCTGACACATCTGTAAAAGCACAGAATGACACATCTTCCCTTGGAGATCGGCAAGTTCAGCTCCCTCCCTTTACAGAGAAGGAAAAAGGACCAGAGAGGGGCTTGTCCAAAGTCACATAGCTAGTCAGTGACAGAATTACAACTAGAACTCAGCTCTCTTGAGTTCAATCCAGGGCTCTTTCTCCTTCCCTATTTATCTTTCCTCTTGTCTGGAATACTTCACTCCAATTAATGGACTTACTGGGACAAGACAAAATATGGCAAATATAAATTACCCTCCTTCCCCCACAGCCCTTTGTATTGCCATGGCTGGTGGGTCCCACAAGACTTCTAGCTGGGCTCTCTTGGGACTTGGGTGGTTTTCATCAGCAGGGATGATTTGTGCCTAGAGGGATTGATTATATAAGAAAGAGTGAGGATGAGCTATGATTTATCTCATTCTCCAATGAGTAGGTGATACACATGGGCTCTGGATTTTCTGGCAAGGCTGATTTTTGTACTTCTCCAGGGCACCCCAGGGAGGAGAGGCATCCAGGGGGAGCAAGGGACTCCAGGACCTAGAGTAAGTAAGTCATTAAACTCTGGCCACTGGGATTCCCAGGATCTCCATGTAAAACTTCTACCCAGTGCCAGACTGTCAGGGAAGCACCAGTCAGCAGAATGCGCTGCTGCAGGGGCTGGAATGGGGGTGGGGAAGCCTCTCTTGGGAGAAGGAGGGAGGGAAGGGGAAGGAGACACAGGTCCACTGCACTAATTAACTTTGACGATAACATTACTCCCAACACCCAGGGAAGCAAGGCGGCCAAGCTTAGTGGATAAGGAATTAAAGAAGGATCAATCTCTCTGTTGGGGAAATTCTGTGCTTCCCACCTCATGATCATGCCCTCCCCCCCTGGTGAATTCTCAAGTCTGTAGAAAACCAATCCAAACTTCAGAGTTTCCATGAATACTAATCTTCATCCCCAAACCCCTTCATGATGATTAACTGGGGTGATCCACCCACCCTGATGTAAAGGGGGGGAATGGCTCACACATGAGAGGACAAAGATGCTAGAAATAGCAGCTTCAGGGGAGGAAGAAGCAAGAAGGGGAGAAAAAAAGGGTTAGCCAGCAGTGGGGGCTAAAAAGGATCTGAAACTCACATATGCTCACAGCAATCACTCTCAGCACTATACCTCCCAGAATCAGGGATACCTGGGCTAGCTGCTAGCAATGATGCCCTCCACTCTATCTTATTCTTTTAAGAAAAGGTCTATTGGTTTTATCAGACTGCCAAAGGGGCACATGACCAAAAAATGTGAAGAACCCCTTGCGCTAAGGTTCCCTTTATGTTTGTTGTCACAGATATCATCTCTGTGTGTAAGGGCAGGGATGGGGAGAGGGCAGGACAAAATGTGATTGATTTTCCCCAGGGCTCTGCTTCCCCCCCTCCAAGAATGGCCTCCATCCCATACCACTTAGAGATACTTTCTGACTCATGGTGCAATGGAAAAAGAGGTGGATTTAAAGTCAGCTAAATTCAAATACCGGCTCTTCTACCTGTAGATGTCAAGCAATTTACTTTCTCTGTTTCTTCATTTGTAAAATGAAGATGTTAGACCTGATGGCCTTTATTTAAAAAAAAATTAAATTAATTAATTTATGTTTAGTTTTCAACATTCACTTTTATAAGATTTTGAGTTCTAAATTTTTTCTCTCCCTCCCCTCTCCCCAAGATGGCATGCAATCTGATACAGGCTATACATGTACAATCATATTAAACATATTTCCACATTAGTCATGTTGTGAAAGAAAAATCAGAACAAAAGGGAAAAACCACGAGAAAGGAAAAAAAGAGAAAATAGTGTGCTTCAATCTGCATTTAGACTCCATAGTTCTTTCCCTGGATGTGGATAGCATTTTGCATCACGAGTCTTTTGGAATTGTCTTAGATCATTGTATTGCTCAGAAGAGCTAAACCTAACAAAGCTGGTCATCACACAATGTTGCTGTTACTGTGTACAGTGTTCTCCTGGTTCTGCTCACTTTGCTCAGCAAACCTGATGGCCTTTAAATAACCTTCCAATGTGAAATCCTTGTTCCCTGTATTGTAACTATGGTCCCTAAGATGGCTTTCCACTATAATCCTATGACCTCTTCAGGAATAGTCCCTGCCTACACACAAGCCCTGGGATTTGCCAGTATTTTATTTCCATTTGGTTTTCCCAGGCCAACCATAGCTTGGAAACTTCTGTGAATTCAAGCCAACATGCATTTAGCAAACGCCTACTAAGTGTCCAGTGAGTTTCACTGTGAATAAAGGATACATTCCCCGTGCTCGCAAGGCTCTGCTCCTCCCTCTGGAAAATAAGCTCTTGCCCCAAGATGTCAGCTCTTCTCCTCCCTCCTGGTTGTACTGGTCAGAACCAATTCCAGTTCCTGTCAATTCCTTGTTGAGAGTGAAGTAGGAAAATGACAGTGAGGGCTAAGGAGCCTTAGCACCTTCAGCCAGCTCCCTGGAACTCAGTAGACCATACGTGCCTGGGATTATAAGCTTAGCTGATCACAGAAGGAGAGTTGGAAGAGAGTTCAAAGACTATGCAGTCCAACTTCCTCATTTTATAGATGAGAAAACTGAGGCATAGAGAAGAGACTTGTCCAAGGTCACACAGGTGGCAAGTGGCAAAGTTTCTGCCTCTTGTCCATCCTTGTGAATTTAAACCCTCCTGGCATCGAGTCATCCAAGACTCCCAGAGCCTGATCTCTTTGGTTAAAATTATGAGGAAGGAAACAAGCATTTATTAAGCACCTACTACGTGCCAGGCGCTGTGCTAATTACTTTATAATTATTATCTTATTCGATCCTCACAACAACCAAAAGAGGTAGGCACTGTTATTATCCCCATTTTACAGTGGGAGAAACTGAGGCAGACAGATTAAGTGGCTGGTATGGGGTCACACAGCTGGTAAGCACCTGTGGACAGAATTGGTATTCAGGATTTCCTGAGTTCAGGCCCAGCACTCTACCCATTGCATCACCTAGCTGCCTCTCGTGAGGGGTATAAATGATGGTGGTGATGATACTGATGATGATAAAGATTTACACAGACACTCTGCTAAGAGCATTATCTCATTTGATCCTCCCAGCGAGGAAGGTGCCGCATTACCCTGGAAGGTAGGCGCTATGATTAGCATCTCCATGTAACTCCTGTCCCAAAGCCCATTTATCAGAATTATTATAGCAAAACAAAACCCAGAGAAATTACGCATAAGAGAATACCTGCTGGACGCGAGATGACGCCGCTCAACCCAGAAACAGTCTCACCCAAGGGGTAATTCCCCAAAGTCTCTAGAGTAGCAAGATGATGATAACGACATGATAGAGACTGCCGGTTTCTCTCATGCCTTCCCAGAGTCTTTTTCTTCAGCAACATGAAGTGAGATTGGCCTCTTCCATCTTCTCTACTGGAGCTGGAAGCCAGGAGCACCCAAATGATGAGTCCCCAAAGGGGGACTGACAGAAGAACTGAAGCTCCCTCCTGTTGAAAACTCTATCCTCCTCATGCAGGGGAGGACCTTTATATCCACCGATAAGGAGAGAGTCACATACCAATGGGCTTTGGGACAGGGTTTACAACCATTTTACAGATGAGGAAACTGAAGCAAACAGGTTAAGTGACTTGCCCTGGGTCACACAGCTAGTACAAGTACCTGAGGCCAGATCTGACCTCAGGTCTTCTTGACTCCAGGCCTGGCACTCTATCCATTGTAGCCGTTGTGTCCACTGCCCCTGGTGAAGGTTACAAAATCTGTAGTACTTAGTTCCCTCCCACGGGGATCAGTGTTTTGGCTGCAGTAGAAGGTTCACTTTGGATTGTGATAGAATATAAGGTCAGACTATTAAGGGCATACTAGATTGCAGAGGATGTTGAAGTGCTTAACTACAGAGTTTGGCTTTGATGGGATCACAAGGTGGAAGCTTTTGAGAGTTTATTGCAGAATCAGTGAGAAAGGATGTGACTTCATCTGTCATCTCCTCTCTGTTCTTAGGGAGAACCAGGTCCACCCGGACAGACTGGACCAGAGGGCCCTGGAGGCCAGCAGGGGTCACCAGGGACTCAAGGTCTCACAGTTCAGGGACCTGTGGTAGGTAATCCTTCCTTCTCCCTTCCTCTGCTTTCCACCCCCTTACAAAACTACACATGCGTTCCCTTCCTACTTCCCAACCTGCTGACTATTTCTTTATGCATTCAAAATTAATATCAAGGGAGATTGTAGGAAAGAGTCCTATTGTTTTGTTCCTGTATAGGGTCCACCAGGGGTCAAAGGTGAGAAGGGGGACATTGGACATCCAGGCTTACAGGTACTATGTGCAAAATGGGTGTTTTGTCTGGAGACTGGGCTAGGGAAGATGGGAACCTTTCTTACTACCATGAAGTATATTTCTCAGAAAGTCTAGGACTTTCAAAGCATTTGACCCCTAGAGAGTCCGGGGGTCCTGACCCTTCTTCCTTTACACTCAAATTCTGAGGGTTTCCTCCTACAGGGCCACCCTGGCCACCAAGGACCCCCTGGGAGACACGGCCTCCAAGGTCCAAAGGTAAAAATGCTTTTGATACATAGAATGGTCCCCCAAAAGGTTCCCCCAAACCAGGAACTGAAATGTCAAAGTACATGTGATATAAGAGCATGTGTGCCTGTGTTTTGTGATGTATGTGTGTGTGTGTGTGACCAAGGACCTTGACCTGACTCTTCTCTACCTCTTAAGGAACAATTTCCCATACTCAATTTCAGGCCTAATCCTTAAACCTTGATTTTTATTTCTAGGGAATGAGGGGATTTGAAGGTACAGCTGGCTTTCCAGGACCTCCTGGCCCAAGGGTAAGAGGAAAGCTCTGACAGTCTCCCCCCCCCTCCTCCTTTTCTTTTCTTTCCCTTCCCCATCTTCCTCTCTTTCCTTATCCCCTGCTACTCCCCTTCCCTTCTTCTTCCATTTCCCCTTCTCCATCTTTTCCTTCCCTTTGTCCTTCTCTTGACTTTCCTATTTTCCCCTTCTTCCTCTTCTTTCCCCTTCCTCATCCCTCACTTCCCTGCTCCTCTTCTCTTCCTTTTCCTATTCTCCTTCTCTCTCCTTCTTCATCCCTCCTTCCCCTTTTCCCTTTCCATTGCCCTTCCCTTCCTCTTCCTGTTCCCCTTCTCTCTTTCTTTCTCCTTCCCCTCTCACTTGTTCTTTCTCTGCATCTTTCCATCTCTCTCCCTCCCTGTACATATAATGTAATTGGGGTGGGAGGCAGAGTATGGTGGGGAGGAGGCAGAGGAAAAAGAATAAAGATGAGAGCCAAACTCCCCAGGGTCCTTGAGCCAAATACTTTCCATGCTCCTGTCATGAGGATCACAGCACTGGGGGAAGGTGAAGATGAAACCCCACTCAGTGAGTAGCAGCCTGTCACTCCTCGATCAGTGAAACTTTGGTGGACAGGTTGTCAATCTGTGCCCCCCAAGCTCCGCACCTTGCAGTGATTTCCTTTCTCCGTTGGATTTCTCTGGCTCCTTGCCTCCAGGATGCTGGGGGCACTATGCAGGGAACTTTGAAACAAGAACAGAAGAATAAAACATCAGAACATCAGCAATGCCCCCAGGGTTATCCCCATAGCTCCTCCAGGCCAGGATTTAGCCTTTTGAGGGGGGAGGGGGGATGTGGCAGAGAGTTTCAGGGAAGGAGAGATAACTGTCTTCCATGATGTCATCTTCACTTTTAATTTCCTGTAGCAACCTAAGCAATTTAGGGCCTTTAAAAATCTAATCAGAATTTTTGTTGCTGTTCATTATTAGGCAATTTACTAGCATTGAAGTAATTATCAGACATTTCACCAGTGCGTGGGACCATGGGTGTGGGGCAGGGAAGGGAAGAGTTGAAGGGGAAGGATGGGAGGAAGAGCAGAGGAGGATGAGAAGAGGAGGGAGCATCCTCCACATAAGGTTCCAAGAATCAATTCAACCAGGATTTTCTGATGCCTACCACGTGTGAGTTTTGAGCTTGTCTATGCTATGGGAGAGATGGAGCTAATATGGGTCTTGCCCTTAGGGAGCTCACAACCTCTTTAACTTCAGGGGACACTAAGGAAAAGAAGACCCGGGCAGACCCTGCTTTCAGATGTCTCAGTGTACCTAAGAATGCAAGATTCTCCAAAATGGAATAGTATCACAGTTCCAGAGCTGAAATGGACCAAAGTGGCCATCTAGTCCAATCACTGTCAATTCACAGATGAAGAAACTGAGGCCTAGTGAGGTCAAGTGATTTATCCAAGGCCACATAGGTAGTAAGCATTAGATGTAGGTTTTGAACTCAGGGCTTCTGGCCCAATTGCCTACAGCCAATACTCTTTCCATTACACCATGCTGTTTCTCTTATTAGCAAACAAACCACATCATTGCTTTGGTGGACTCAGCAATGTGAGTACTTCTTCTGCTGGTGAAAAAGGAAGCCCCCTCCATGTTTTCTTGGGCAGTCAGGTGGCACAGTGGATAGAGTGCCAGGCCTGGAGTCCTGGGTTCAAATTTGATCTCAGACACTTACTAGATGTGCGACCCTGGGTAACTCACTTAACCCTGTTTGCCTCAGTTTCTTCATCTGTAAAATGAGCTGGAGAAGGAAGTGGCAAACCACTCCAATGTCTGTCCAAGAAAACCCCAGATGGGGTCACAAAGAGTCAGACATGACTGAAAAACAACCAAACAACAACACCATGCTTTCTCATCCTGTGTAATTCTTGTCGATGGTTTCCCATGAAGTCCATATAGAAAAGCAATCCAATGACCTGAAGTTTTTCGTCTTGTTCTTTTACTGAGGGTACCATGGTAGTTAAGAACTACCAATTCTATAGTGCTTTGAAGGTACCATGGTAGTTAAGAACTACCAATTCTATAGTGCTTTAAAGTTTGCAAAGCACTTTACATATGTTAACTCGTTTGATTTTCGTCACAACCCCGAGAGGTAGGTGCTATTGTTATCCCCATTTTACAGAGGAGGACCTGAGTAATTGGCCAAGGATCACAAAGCCGGTGAGTGTCTGAGGCAAGATATGAACTCAGGTCTTTCTGACTCCAGGTCCTGTGCTTTGTCCACTGCAGTACCTAACAGTTGGGTTGCCCATCTGCCATCTTCTATTCCCACTACACAATCTCTCCACATCCTTTTTTTCAAATATATATGTCCTTGATTTCATGCCACTGTGTAACCAAGAGTGTGTTCCAAGGTCACAATTGAGACAAGCCTTGAATAATGGGTAAATTTGGAGTGGAGAAGAAAGGCATGGAATGAGCATGGCACTGGCTTCACATGATAGAGCTAGCAGGGATTAGCCGGAGAGCATTCAATCCATCCCTCCCTACCCATATTATAAATGAAGAAACTGAGGTTTATGTCCTAGGAACAGTGAAGAGACTGACCTGGATGAAACAAAAAGTTCGTGTAAGAGAGCAGTACATAGATACAGTAGGGTTAGATTGTGGAGGGCCTTGAATACCGTGCTACAAAATCTAGGCTTCATGCTGTAGTCAGTGGGGAATTCTTATAGGTTCCTGAGCTAGGAAGGCGAAGCCCATGCCTGACTGAAGCTCTGGGAAGTTACCGTGGATGGTAATCCTTCCCTAAGAGCACGGGCATAGAATGCCAGACTTGAAGTCAGTAAGACTTATCTTCCTATGTTTGCGGGAAGTGTGGGCTGAGAGGTCGTGGTGTCTGCTGCCATTTACAGGGCTTTCAGGGAATAGCTGGTGCCAGAGGCATCAATGGGGAGAAGGGACCCCCTGGAGACGTGGGACCCACGGTGAGTATAGAGCTGACAAATCACTCGGCTACTGAGGCTGGGGGCCAGGGCTTGGAAAGTAGAATGGTGTAGATGTTGCTGAAATTTCATGGATTTGCCTTCTTTTTGTGGGTTGTAGAAAAGAGATTTATAAAGCAATTTTTGGGAAAAGAATCCTATTTTTATGACCTAGGCTATTTCTCTTTAAAAGAATTTTTTTAAAATAAAGAAAAACATCAGCACCCCACCCCCCATGTAGCTGTTAGCAAAAGCTTGGGATTGTATATACCAGATTTATTTAAAGAGGAACAGACCTGGATAGGCTGGACTCGGTCCTTGGGTTTAGGAGCAGTGATGATACGTCAGCAAGACCTACTGCTGTTCTGTATCTCAAGGCTGGACACAGGAGGCTGGGAGGAAACCAGCCTTGGCTTTGTCTGTTGGATTGGAATGATGAATGGCTCTTCATATATCCTGGTACCTTGCAGCAGTCCCCAGTTATCCATACTGTGCAGGCACCAGAGGCACCTAGCTGGTGCAGTAAATGCCCAGCAGGGAGGGGAGATTTTGCCTGGAGTCAGAAGCTTGTTCCATCCTGGCAAAATGCCTCCTGAATGACATTGCTCCTTCCCGAGGAGAGGACCTCTGGAGGCTGGCCTCTCTCTGGATGCCCCCAGGTGAGGCAGAAGGTAGTTTGCACAAAAATGAACTCTTGGGGGTTTACAAGAATTGGTATGTCCTGCACCCATGGCAAAGCTCTGACATTAAGTACCCAGGGGGAAAAGCAAATGCCAGAATGCCAGCAGTGCCCTGAAGGCCCCTAAAACTTTGAATTATAACTGGGGGAAGGGGCAGCAAAGGAAGGGGAGGCCAGATAATCTGAGGAGGTTGTGCCGACCCACTGTCCTCTGTGAAGGTTAGGAATGCAGATAAATACTCCTAATCACCCTTCATAACCAGCCCATTCATTCAATAACCTTAAGTGTCTATCAGGACCTAGTGTTCAGGGCTCTGGGAGATATAAAGATGAGACAGATGTGAATGTTTGTAAATTTTATTTGAAGCTGTTTGTATTTCCAGTCTGTGCAACTGTGGAGGCACTGAATCCCTAAGTTGATTCCTATCTGAAGGACAGCCTTTTCTTTGTCCTAAATTGATTTCTTTCAGATTCAGAGAAGGCCCCTCATTCCATTCTGTGGAACTGAAGGCCCAGGACTATTCTCACCCTTTCATGTCCTCTCTCAGCCTCTGTCCTTCCACCTTGAAGAGGGTCTCAGCTTTCAAGATTTCCCCATGCTCTTTGCCTGACTTGCCAAAAAAGGAAAGAAAAGAAAATTCATCTACTTTCTGCCAATCAAGCATTTCCTGAAATCTTGAATTAGGCCAGAAGGCTAGCTTATTCAGGCCAAGGCAGGGACAGCAGCCAGAACAAATGGACAGTGTTGCATATTCCAAACCTCTCTCTGTCTGCTTGTGCTCAAACATCTATCCACACAGCTGCCCCTTTACTTGAATGCTGCAAACCTGTCTTCACAGCCTCATGTACATATACGGAGCCCACATCCAAACATAAGGCACAGTGGGTTGCATATTCCCAGCTTCTCTCTGTGTTTATACACTCATGAGAGCAAACACAGGAATGCTTATGAGCAATGCTCACATTCTCCAAGCCTTTTGCTGTGTGCTTGCTCACGTCCTCATTCTCATTCTGTCTCTGTCTATCTGTCTGTGTCTCCCAGTCCCACCCAGAAAGCATTAGATTGAACCTAAAGAGACTGGAACAGCAAGCACTGGATGAAGGGGCCCTCAGTAGGAGGCTTTCACATCCTCCAAAGTGCAAGCACTTAGGTACATCCAGAATGCCTCAGTGCTAGCCAGGGCCACAGGGTCATAGCTTCAGTCACCCTGAGTGAGATTTAGATCCTGGATACCCTTGGTTGAGTTTTCCTCTTATTTCCTTTCAGATTCCTGAGAATTATGATAATAATGTGTGTCTTTCTTCCCTTCTTTCCTGTTCAGGGACTTCCTGGGCCTAAAGGAGAGCGAGGAGAGAAGGTAAGGCCTTTCACCATCCTGTTCCATTTCTGGTCAGCATCCTGCAGAAGGCTATGCCTGCCTTGCAGTCCAGATTTCATGCTGCATGCCAGTTCTCAGGGCATGCAGGATCATGCAATGTCAGTTATTATTAGTAGTAGCAGTAGTAGTAATCATGACAACAATAATAAGTAATAATAATAAAAACACTCTACAGTTTGCAAAGCAGTTTATAAAACACTTTACAATTTACAAAGCACTTTACAAACATCATCTTGTTCATGCCTACTGGAAACCATATACCAAAGACCTACAAGATAGGCAATGCTAGTATCTTTATGCCCATTTCACGGATGAGGAAACTAACGCCCAGAAAGAGACAGTAATTTGTCAAGAGTCACATGATTAGCAAGGATAAAACCTTAGACCCTTTGACTTTACGTCCAGAGCTCTCAGACCACGCCACTGCTCACCCCAGACTTCCATGTGTAATGTACACCATGAAATAGAAGCGTGGCTGTTACCTGTTTATTTCTGCTGTTCCTCACATGGCCTATAGCACTGCCCATTTTAGGCTTTCACAGCTCACTAATTTAGCCTAACTTTCAAATTCTCTGCAGATTAAATTCTCATCACACTGTTGTGCCGTACAAAAATAACGATGTTTGCTTCTCAGGGAGAGCCCCAGTCCCTCGCCACCATTTACCAGTTGGTCAGCCAGGCTTGTGAGCAGTTGATTCAGAGTGAGTAATAATAACAAAACAACTACAAATCACATTCATATTCTGCTTTACGTTTTGCAAAGCCCTTATGTGATCTTATTTGATTCTCATAACAACCCTGTGAAGTAGAGGCTATCATTATCCACATTTTACAGTTCGGGAAACTGAGATACAGACAAGTTAGATGATTTGCCCAAGATCACACACCTAGTAACTTGCACCCATTTTGGGACCTTCTTCTCAAAGTTCCAAATGATTAGGGGGTGACGGGGTGAGGGCTGGTCACAGTGATAATAATTCCCTTAAGGAAGTCACACTCTTTGTACAAGTGGGACCTGAAAGTTTCTCCTCTCCTACCCAGGAAAAGACAATGGCAAAAGTATGAAATGAAACCCTACAAGGCTCTTCTTCCTGACCTATGCCCTTATCTCCTTGCCCCATAGCATCCTGCCCCGTAGCCCCCCAAGCCAAAGAGCCATACCTTTGCCCAATTCTCCACACATTTGCCTTTATATATCACCTCCCTCCTAGTCAATGAGAAGGCTCTCCTATCTGTTGTGTCTTTCCCATAAGGCAACAGGGTTCAGAGAGAGTTGTTCTCCTCTCATAGATAGGAAAACTGAGGCGCAGAGGGATTTGAGTGATTTGTGTATAGTGAATTAGAACATGATCCTAGAGATCCCAATTCCCATTCCACCTCCCTCATTCCTAGATCTCCCTACTCTGTAGTCTTGCTTCCCTTTCTTCCTTAACAGCTTTCCCTGGGACCCCAGTCCATAGGTTCTCTTTCTCCCAGCCCTCTCTGAAGAATGAAGGTGACCAAGTGCCTTTCTCTTCTCTTCCCCTAGCTCATGTGTTGAAATTTGATCCATTCCTTCATGAAAACACCAGGCCCCCAGTGCCTGTCTGGGAGGAGGAGGTAAAGTCAGGAGAGCCAGGCTTGCCTGGTCTTGCTAGCCTTCCGGGCCAGAAAGGAGACAGAGGAGAGGATGGATTCCCTGGAGATCCTGGGAGAGAGGGCTACCTAGGTATTTTGGCTTGTATATTCTTTATGGAAGGGGCCAGAAAGTTTATGGGCTATTTATCTGCTCAGAGGATTAAGGACTTGATTTGGGTGGAAATTATAGAAGTTAAATCTGCTTACGAGAAGAAAAACTTCCTTAACCATTAGAACTGTCCATGAATGTAATGGACTGTCTCAGGAGATAGTGGATGACTTCCACTAGAGGTCTTCAAGCAAAGATTGGATGATCACTAATTGTGCCTGTTAGGTTATATTATTCCCAAGGTCCCTTTGACACTGACATTCTGTGAACCAGCAACGACACTGTACTGGGCAGCAGGATCTTCAGAATACAATCCCTGCCTTCAGTGTGCTTCCACCTGAGTTGATAACAGGATTGGAAAGGGACATGGTGGGACTTCTTTCCCTGGGAACATGCAAAAGGAAATAAAAGTCATGGAATATTAGAGCAGGAAGGGATCTCAGAGACAATCAAACCTAGACCTCTCATTTTGCAGCTGAAGAAACTGTAGCCCAGAGAAAGAGCTTGCTTACCCAAGGCCACACAGCTTATTGGTAGCAGAGATTAAGCATCTTCTAACACCCAGTTCAGTGTACTTTCTCTACCATACTATGCCTTATTGCCTTTTACTCAGCCCCGATTGAGGAAGGAGAGGGGGTAAGGTTGGGGGGGTTGATGGGGAAAGACAGGTTATAGGAGAATCTGAATCTGCCTCTCACTGATCCCTGCACTAAGTCTTCACCAACCCTCCAACTAGCACCATTGACAGATAGGACTGCCCCTGCCTTGGACCACTGCAGAAATTGTCACATCCAGCTGCCGCCTCCCCAGTCAGCTTGTTGCATGGCAGCCCTTCAGAAAGCCAAGTCCCTTTCTTACTCTGGGCCAGACCTTGGAGGCAGCTGCATTTCTGGGAGGAGGGAGGAGAGAGGGGGCTCCATCAAGGAGGTTTGGTGGAGATGACCTTGGCAGGTGTCCGTCCTTCTGATTGGCTGGTGGCCACAGCAGCCAGCTTTCAATGCAGACGGAGGGTCGGAGATCAGATGCTGAGATGGATAGAGATGCCGATTCCAAGAGACACAAGCAATGAGATTAGGGCTAGAAACCTTGCAGGGGGTGGGGAGAGGGAAAACAAAGAAGATGAGAAAAAAGGCATAAAGCTAGCCAAGGACAGACTTTGAACCTGAATATCTTTCTATACGACTATTTGCAGTGAAGGCTGTTATTTTTTCTCTCCCTCTGTCTTGTGCAGGAGTCCAGGTCTGTAGTTTAATTGGCAGGATTCAGCTTAAACATCACAGGGCAACTAGGATCTGTCACCATCCCTGGGGAAAGACACTGTTACACCATTGCTGCCTTTTTTCCACTTGCACTGTCACCTTCCCCTCCTTCTCTTGCACCCCCACTTCTTCCAGCTGTTCTCTCCTGTTCCTGAAGAAAACAGCTGGAGAGAGCAGGTAATAGGCAGCTGCCTATAGCAAAGGTGGGAGAAGGCAGCAACCCCCTCAATCCTGGTGCTTAGTACTGGCAGAGTCTGGGGGTGGGGAGAGAAGGCCCTGCGTCAGATAGAAATCAATGCAGTGAAGAGTGTTTGATCAAGAGCTGAGATGACTATAGACCCCAGGGGACTTTCATTCCTGTCACTAGCTTGTACCGTTAAGAAGCAAAAGGAGGCTGAGGCTAGCTAGATCAGGGTAAGGTGCCCCTCACTTTAAGCAAACTCAGTGGCCCAAAATCTGAAATAAAACAGCTCAGCAAGAAGATAATTATTAGATTTATAAAATTATTCACTCCAGGATTCCCCTGGTATATATGAAATAGGATTTAATTACATAAATTAGATTTCCACGGCTTTTAAGTAGTTAATTGGCAAACCTATGTGCTCAGGGCAAGCAAGTATTTTTATACCTGAATCTCTCCCCAAGACCCCATGAACCCCACATCTATACCTTTCGGGCTTTCCTGTGTAACTGGAGCTTGGAGCTTTATGGCTCACTAAGGGCCATATATGGCATTTCTGGTCATTCTGGTCCAAAGTCTAACTTTCTCAACTATCTCTGATGGATGGTTCTTAGCACTGAGGACTGAACTCTAGCCTGTTCCTTTCTCTTTGTGTTGAGATTCAGGCAGAGCGTAAGTTACAGAGAGACCTCTGACCATCCAGCCTCTGCCATCCTGCAGTTTTAATGAAAGTCAGTTTCAGTGCAGATAGGGATCCTGGGGCACTTTGCTGCTCTCTGGTCTCGGTCACACCCAATATCCCACCCCTTATATCAATAAACAGACCATAAGCTCCCTAACATCAGAGTCTGTTTCTCCTCTTATTGGACCTGAAGGTCTCTGAGAAAAGTGACTATGTCTCCTCACCTCATGTAAGTCCAAGAGACCCCCAAAGACAAGGCTGTGACTCTCACTTCACACTAAAAGCTTACTGAGGATATGATCCATGTCTCCCCCATCAGAACATATTTCATTAGAGTAGAGGCCCTGTGTGTGTGGAGGAGGGGGTGGAGGGGGAGGAGAAAATCCCCAGCCTAGATTTCTCCATGCTCTAAGAACCAAATTCTCTCTTGTTTCCAAATGATTCTTTCCTATTAGGTGGGCTGGGAGCTAAGGGGCAGAAGAATAGCCCTGTCCTATCAGTACAAAGGTCTCCTGGACTCCAGGGAACGACAGGTGAAAATGCTTCTCCCCTGGGACCATTAACATGGCAGACTCCTTCTAAGCCAAGGGGAGTGTACAGCCATGGCTAGCTCACATTGATACTGCACTTTCTAGTTCCTCTGTTCTTTCGTTTAACCCAGCAGTTGTCTGTCTCACACTGATTCCTTGCCTTACCAACTCTCACCTCATCTTTTAAGCTATGTCTCTGATCTCATCCTGCCACAGAAGTCCTTCCTCTGTTGGCCTGGAAAAGATTTTGTATTAATCTTACTTATTTCAGATATACATATAAATATACCAGGATTCAGCCTGGTAGGTCTAACTATTTCTTCAGTTAATTCATCAATATAGGACTATAAGCTTCATCTCCTGTTTTTTTCTGGCTCTCATTGACTACCAGTTGAGTGCCAAACACTTCATAGACACTTAGCAAATTAAAGGGCTTAGTCTATTGATGAATGAATGAGCCAGTGAATTTCTGAACTTTCTGACACTGCTTTATTCTAGACCAATCAGGGGAAGATCTTCTGGAAAAACTGGGATCTCAGGGTTCTCCAGGACCAGGTAGCCCCTCCAGGTTTTCAGGGGTTGCAGTCCAAGCTGGAAAGTCTGGCCCTTCAGGGGACTGTGAATCCTCAGAATGTCTCCTAAAGAGTCCAAGAGGTGAGTTTAATCATCTGCTTAGAGGTGTGGGGACTGAATTGTTCAGCCTCTGACTTTTCTCCCAGGGCATCCCAAGCTCAGTCTATTGTCCAGCAAACCTCAACCATTCTGAAGCAACTTGTCTTCCTGGAACTTTCAGCTTGGTTGCTCTAGGAGAGTACCTGGCTGGTGAATTTGGCTGAACCCAGAGAGCTAGCCAGCCTTTGATCTTCTGCAATCCACCTAGCTTCCCTTCAACTAACAAAGACTGTGGAGAAAGCGGTGTCTAAAAGTGGTCTGACTTTGCAAGAAGAAAACATCTTGAGGGCGATTAAAGGGAGCCACTATGATTCCAAAGTGTGATCAGTCTTGAACAAAAGGAAAAGTAGGAAGAAATCTGATGGAGACATTAGTTACCATGTGTATAAATCTTCTTTAGTCACAAGACCTACATTACAATTTCTAGACCTCAAATAAGTTATTTTACCTCTCGGAGCTTTGGTTTCCTCCTCTGCAAAAAAGGGATAAAATCTGTACTGCTAACCTCTCAGGGCTCCTGTAAAGAAAGTTTTTTGTATACTGTGGTATATTGGAAGGAATGATGTCAGAGGATCTGAATTCAAATCCTGGCTCTGTTACTACCCCAGTGACTTTAGGCAGGTTATTAAGCCTTTCTTGGCCTTATCTGAAAACGAGGGGTTGGACTGGATAGCTTCTTAGGTGCTTTCCAGCTCTAAATGCAAGATGCCTATAGAAATGTAAATTATTATTGTTGTTATTATCATTATTGCTATCTACTTCCTGCAGAAAACTCTCCTCCCTTCCCTTAATTCATTCTTGAGAATTTAGTTGTCTGAGCAGCTAGGCGGTACTGTGTATACAGTGCCAGGCCTGGAGTTAGGAAGACTCATCTTCTTGAGTTCAAATCTGGGCTCAGACAGTATTATCTGTGTGACCCTGGGCAAGTCACTTAACTCTGTTTGCCTCAGTTTCCTCATCTGTGATATGAGTGGGAGAAGGAAATGGCAAACCACTCTAGTATCTTTGCCAAGAAAATCCCAAATGGGGTCATAAAGAGTCAGACACAACTGAAAAATGACTGAAGAACAATGAAATTTAATTCCTCTTTCCCTTCTTTTTAAAGTTGGGAGACTATAGTTATGGAGTACTGCATACAATATTGTACTTGGTTCGTATGTTGGCTAGTTGTATTGACCTTTTTCTCCTCTTTTATATTCTTTGTTTTAAGGGGTGGCTTATTAGAAAAAGGACAAGGATAGGGAGTAGAAAGGGGGAAATAGATTGGGAAATGTAGTTGATATAAGAATAAAAACATTAATAAACAATTTTCAGGAATTAGTAGGAAAAGGCATTGCAGGGAGGTGGAATGATGCTCAGATCTACTGCTAAGATTTAGTACATCTGCCTATAGTAATCCTGCTTCTTCTTGTTTCCAGATGTTGACTTGATCCCCTGATCCTGGCAGAAGGATGGACCCTGAGCAGGTTCTCAGTGATCCCCAATTTGGCTCCTGTTTGGCCTGCTTGTTCCATCTACCCTTGTCCCTTCTCAACTATGTAGGCTATTCCACATGATACATTTTTCTCCACAGCTGTTTGAGGCATCTAGATGTATGGGATATTTGGTGGTTTGATGACAGCTGTTTGGGGGAATCTGGAGAGTCTGAGACAATAAGCCATGAGGAGACTGCAGATGGAAGGAGGGGTGGAAGGCACAGAGTCAACAAGAATTTTTCCCCTCTCCTTAGGCCTGGAGCTTTAAGTAGGCTTCCTAGTGCTAGCTATAGAAAAGGAGAAAAGATTTGAGTGGAAAGAGCCCTGCTCCAGGTTTACCTTCTAGGACAGCCTTGCAACATTCCTGCAATTGTATCCTGCTTCTGTCTAGCCTGGGATCAGCATCCTTTGTTCTCAGAGATTGTCTTCAGAAGTTTGTTCTTAGCTTCTGTTGGCTCTGGGGCTGGGCAAAAACCCAGCCTCTGTCATTCAATTGAGTTTAGTTTCAGTTATTTTCTTTGAAAGGCCTCATTGCTTTGTGCTATACATCTTATGGCCAATAAGGAAGGAGTCAGGATACTTTGGCTATGGGAGACTTCCATGGGATGTTAGGGTAAAGCTGGCAGGTTAAACATCTTGACATGTGTAATCGGTTTATTTGGATTCAATGCTATGTAGGAATTTAAGGAACTCTCTATGTGTAAAGAGTTATGTATTAAAAACTATAGGATTTCAAGTCATCAAGAAAACAGCTTTATACTTGATCCCCAGCTGAAGTGCTATGTGACCTTTGATGATACTATCTCTCTTCCACAGCTGCTTTTATCTGCAAACTCCATCCCCCTCTTCCCTCTTGGAAGGTGTCAACTCTTGTAATGGCCTTCAGCCTGGCCTGGGTCTACCTGGTAGTAGTAGCAAGTCCTTAAATAACTGATTTTAATAGAAAGGCAGCTCTGATCTAATAGAGAGATCACTGACCTAGGAACAAAGAGATGTAAGATTTTAATACTAACTCTTCTACTAATGAGCTGTGTGGCCTTGGTCAAACATTCTCCCTCAGAAGGTCTCATTTTCCTCACCTCTAACATGAGGGACACATTTCCTAAATCAGTGGTATCACACTCAAGTCAAAATGGATATAAAGATTCCTTATATCCACATAAAGATCCCACATAAGGATGCCTGTGGGCTGTATATGGACTTAGAAAACCACATATTAACATTAACTATGTCCTGTTATATTTTTATTTAGTTAGGTAAAAATTTTTCAGTTACAGTTTAATCTGGTTCAGGTGGCATTCAGGAGTGTTGCAGGCAGCAGATGCATGTTTGACAACTATGCCCTAAAGAAATATTAGAAGTACTTCCAGTTCTAAAACCCCAAGATTCTATAATGTACACCCAGAAGTTTCAAGGCCAGTTGTGAGGCCCGGGTTTGAGAAGAATGGACTCTGTGTGTGTGTGTGTGTGTGTGTGTGTGTGTGTGATAACCTGTATAAGTAACATTAGAGTCAGTGTGGCATAGTGGATAGAGTTCTGAACTTGGGAGTTTAGAAGACCTCCATTCAAATCCTGTCCCTTTTTTGGGGCAGCTAGGTGGTGTAGTGGATAGAGCACCAGCCCTGGATTCAGGAGGACCTGAGTGCAAATCCGGCCTCAGACACATAACACTTGCTAGCTGTGTGACCCTGGGCAAGTTACTTAACCCCATTGCCTAACCAAAAAAACAAACAAAAATTCTATCTCTTTTTCCTACTACCTACTTTCCTACTACCCTAGGTAAGTCACGGCCTGTCTGAGCCTCAGTTTCCTCACCTGTAAAGTGGGGAGGCTGGACCAGATGACTTCTAAGGTCCCTTCCAGTCCTAAACTTAGTGTCCTATAATCTTTCTTATCCATAAGTATGAAGAGAAATTCTCTTTTTCGTATGGGAAGGATGACATAATCCTTGGCCTTGATTAATTTTATTCAACCAGCATTAGCAACAGCACATCCCTGCTCTAGTGCTATGGAGATGACAGAATAAATGTTACATGCCCTCAAGGTGCACAGTGCCTTGGACATAGTAGGTGCTTAGTAAGTATTTATAGACATGGGTTGGGGAGGAGAGGGAAGGAAGGGAACAAGCATTTATTAAGCAGCTATAATGTGCTAGGCACCGTGCTCAATGATTTACAAATATTATCTTGTTTGATCCTCACAACAACCCTGGGAGGTAGGTACTATTATGATGCCCATTTTACAGTTGAGTAGACTGGGGCAGACAGAAGTTAAGTGACTTGCCCAGGGTCACACAGCTTGTGAATGTCTGAGGCTGGATTTGAAAACTCATGTCTTCTTAACTTGATATTGCTCTATCTACTGGGCCACCAAGCTGCCTCATATGCGTGGTCATGCTTTCAAAAAGTAAGTGTCCATTTCTCCTTAATTTCCTCTCTTAACCAATAATCAACAAGTATTTATTAGGTACTTTCTTGGTCCTGCATCAGGTGCTGGAGATACACACACACAAAAAAAGGAAGCAATCTGGTCTCAGGGAGCTTACATCTGTTCTCTCTCCCTCGACTCTTTACATCATAGAAGATCAAATAATTTGGGTTTTAATTCGTCTTTGGTGAAGAGTGATCTCTCCCTCCATTCTCTGTCCATTCCCCAGGGTAGTGTCTGAAGGGGGAGAGGCTGGAGTGACCTGGAAGGGCTCAGCTTCCCCATCAAATGCAGGATATCCTCAATAGAGCTCTTTGAAAGTGGATCAACGTCCAGCAACGTAGAAAAATCTATTGTTATTCTCTTTACATCCTCGAACATAAACTATGTTCCAGGTGAAGGGAGGCTCAGCAGGTAAAATGAGGACAGGGAGGAGGAAAAAAAAAATTTAAAAAAAAAAGGCCACAAAGGCAGGCAAAGTGCTCCTGGGTGATTATACAAACCCAAGTCGAGCTGCGAAGGGAAGCTGGGTGTGCAGCCATGTTAGATCAAGAGCAAACCCTGCTCACCCACTCTGCCTGCTGAGCTGTGTCTCCTGCCCAACCCCTCCTCCCAGACCACGGGCAGCTCTGACTGCAGTTGCCAGCTCACTTGTCTGAACACCCTTCTGCAGCAGATTAACCAGAGTAGTGTGGTTCCCCTCCTGACTGGCCTGAAGTTGTGCCTCTGTGCCCCACTCCATACAAGCTGGTTAAATAGCCAGTTAAGCATCCAGCAGGATCGCTGTGGCTTGGGGGCTGCCTCACAAAGAATGTGCAGGAGGCTCGAGCCAGGAGCACATATGTGAAGGCTTCCATTCCCCAGATAACACGCTGACTCCTCAGAGCTCCTCCACGCTTCAGGGAATGGTGCTCAAGTGGAGTAATTGAGGATGCTGGGCCCCAACGAGTCATCTTGACATGTCTGATGGTGTGTGGAAAGCTGCTTTCCCTGATGTGTGCCACCTGGCACTAATGAGCTCCTTTTCCAAGGGCCTGAGGCTCCAGAAGGAGAGAGCCAGGAAGAAGAATGGATCTCAGGAGTGAGTGGGGTAGGGCGAAGGGAAATGGAGAAAGTATCCCCTGGAGTCCAGGCCAGGGTTGGAGTGGCCAGGGGTTCTATCCATTGCCTCTCCCCTCTTCCTTCCTCCCCTTCCCCTGGATGAAAAGGCTTCTTTCCCTGTTCCCTTTCCTCCCCCTCCCCCTCCCCCTCTCAATCTTATGTAGATAGGGGATAGAAATAGAGAATTTATTGAGCATTTACTATGTGCCAGGTACTGTGCTGAGCACTTAAGATACAAAACCAAGATGACAACGGGGTCCCTAATTTCAAGGTGCTTACAGGTGTCCAAGGTGTTAAGAGGGACTGGAAAGGTAGGGGAGGTGGGGAGGAGAAGGGTACCCATCTGTGGAGGTGGAGCAGACCAGAGAGTGATCACGCCTGGGGCTGAACAAGAGATATCAGCCAGCCAAGGACTCACCCATCATCGAAGATCCCTCCAAGTCAAGTCATCCTTAGGGGAACAAGGCAGCTGGTATAAGCAGAAGCAGAAGAGTGAACAAAAAAATGAAGTAGAAAAGAGAAAAGCCATTCCAAGTCCTCTTGTGAAATGGCACCAAAGTCCCCCTATGACTAGGTTCTGTCTCTGATAGGTCTAAGGATATTTGGAGGAATTTCAAGACTCTCCTCATCTTTGATGCTGGCCACGAAGACCCCTAAGGTCTTCTTCTGATAAAGCTCTCACTTGGTCCTCCCATCCCCACTATCATCCTATATACCTTCTGCCTTTGTAACTGCAGTCTGCAAAAAGGCCCTCTACAATAGGCGCCTCAACTTTCTCTCTTTTCACCCTCTTCGTAACCCCTTACAATCTGACTTCCAACCTTATGGTTCCTCCAAAACTGCCCTTCCCAAGTTATTAATGATCTCTTAGTTGCCAAATCCCACGACCTTTTCTTGATTATCTTTCTCTTTTGACCTCTCTGCGACCTTTGGCACTTAAAAAAATTTCATGTCCAATTCTCTCCCTCCTGCCCATCCCCCACCCATTGAGAAGGTACGAAATACCATACGAAGTAGACGTGTGAAGTCATGCAAAACATATTTCCACATTAGCCATGTTGTCAAAGAAAAAAATAACGTGAGAGTCGAGATGTTTCACTCTGCACTGAGTTCGTCAGTTCCCTCTCTGGCAGCGGACAACATTGTTCATTATGAGTCCTTTGGAACTGTTATGGATCATTGTATTGATTGGAGTAGCTAAGTCTTTCACAGCTGATTGTCATTACAACACTGCTGTGGCTGTGTAAAATGTTTTCCTGGTTCTGCTCGCTTCACTTTGCAACAGTATGTGCGTCTTCCCAGATTTTTTTCTGAAACCAGCTACTTTATTTTTTCTTACAGCATAATAGTATTCCATCACAATCATATGACATATCATAATAGCACCTACCTCCCAGGGTTGTTGTGAGGATCAAATAAGAATTTGTAGTGCTTAAAACATTGCCTAATGGGGCAGGTAGGTGGGCAGTGGATAGAACACCGGCCCTGAAATTGGGAGGACCTGAGTTTAAATCCGGCCTCAGCCCAAACACTTGACACTTACTAGCTGTGTGACCCTGGGCAAGTCACTTAATCCCAATTGCCAAAAACAAACAAAACAAAACAAAACATTGCCTAGTAAGTGCTATATAAATGGTAGCAGTAGCAGCAGCAGCAGCAGCAGCAGCAGTAGTAGTTGTTATAGCGCAGGCTCTCTATCACCTCACATTTGGATTATTGCAATAACTTGCTGGTGGGTCTGCCTGCCACAAGTGTCTCCTCATTGCACTCCACCCTTCAGCTACTAGAGAGATTTTCCTAAAGCTCCTCTAATCGATTCACACCCCTACTCAATAAACTCCTGTGGCTCCCTATTGCCTTTATGATCAATTACAAAATGCTCTTTTTGGTATTCAAAGCCCTTTATAACCTAGTCCCCTCCAACGTTTCCAGTCTTTTTACACCTTACTCTCTGACAAATACCATTTGATCTGTTGACACTGGCCTTTTTACTGTTCCATGAGCAAGATGCTTCTCTCAGTTCTTATTTTCTCTAGCTGTCCTCCATGCCTGGAATGTTCTCTCTCCACTTCTCTGATTACTGACCTCCTTGGATTCCTTTAGGTCCCAATTAAAATCTCACCTTCTGTGGAAGCCTTCCCCAACCCCTATTCATTCTAGTGCTTTCCTTTCATTAATTATTTCCTATTTATCCTGAATATAGCTT